TCAAAACAAATGCTTTGAAAAAGTTTTTCAAATTAAAAAAAAAGCTATAATGAATACTTTCAGTCGTAAAATGCATAATAAATAAATGCAAATATTAAAAATAGATAATAAGCAATAATAAGCTATTGAATCTAATTTATTATAAACTTACACAACAAATGGCTTATTTAGTTTTTTTTTTTTTTTTTTTTTTTTTTTTTTTATAGTGAAATGTAATTTTTGCTGATATTTTTTCAGACTTTCCTTTTCTGGAGAATATATTTAATGTTAAATTAAATTAGTAACCACTGCAAACTTCTAACAAAATGAGCAACATGAAATCAACAAACAAAGATAACACTTTGTAATTATTAGATTAACACCATCCCAACAATGACATCATATTTTACATTCAAATAAAATAATGGAAATAATGTCCAAAAAAAAAAAAAAAATTCACTCGTATCAAGTTAATTTTCCTATTCTATGTTTTTCAGTACTGAAACAAATTTTTCACCTTAAAAGTTTGCAACACAAACTTTCCAACATTTCAGTTCTGTAGCAAAGACTCTAAAATGATTACTTCATTAAATATTCAAGATCTAACAGTTTTAAGCAGTAATTAAGGTCGTACTGTTTAATTAATAACATCTAATTCAGTAATAGAGCTCCAAATAAGAAATATACACAAATTTCAATATATTTTAAGATTTAATTTTTCAATATTTCTTATATTTCTATAATACAATACTTTAAGATTTAATTTAACAATATAATACGTTGAGTTCATTGATATGTGACATCTCAGCAATAGTCGTAATAGGAAGAATAATCATAATTGCAAAATTTGATAAAAACAGTTTCAATTTAAACATTTTTAAAGAAATCAAAAAGATGTAACATTACTTCTAAGCACTAGATATCAGCAAACTCAATATATTGTACGCTAAATTAGATCTCGTAAACTCCTCCATGTACTAAAATCTTTCACCAGTGCCTACACCAAACAAGTGCCAATATCTCAATTTTCCAATATTTCAACTTTGCAGCAAAGACTTCACGCGGCCCATAAATTTTTACGCAGCCGATCGTTTCCATTTGAATGAAAACCGGATGGATCACGGCGATTTGTGGAATTGTCTGTTATTTGATGATGACAGCAAAAGTATTATCGAAAATTCTTCATGAAATTAATTTATTATCATGAAATTTTCTTTCTTTTTTATCGAAATTAGTTGCTATTTTGTTATAATTCAACATGATGTGATATAAAATATAAGATTGAAGTAAATTATAATTAAAATTAAATTTTCATCTCACTGAAATTTAACATGTTTTAACTTATTGGATTGGAATAGAAGAAAATTTAATTCATTCAATTTAATTCTATTCAATTCAATTTAATCAGCATTTTTGACACTTTATCCGTCACTATGAGCAATGAAGAAAATACCTTCACATCATGTATTTTTTTTATTATTGAGGAATAATAAGGAAAGAAAGGAACTATGATGTGAAAAAAAGCTGGAAAGAGGAGAAAGTTCGATTTAATTTAATCCATTTAAAAATCATCGATGCTAGTCAGTGGCGCAAAAATTTTCATTCACTTATCATGACCGCCTGATGTATCATGATAATTTTATTTACATTTATTTATAATGAATAATAAATGATTTATTCAAAACAAATAAAACACTTCTGTAATATAATATTAAGAAATGTATTACTTCGTGTTGAGTACTGCGTGGGTTTCGTTTTTAATTCGAATTAGTTTCTATTCAAATTCCTTTCGTATCGTTCAGTTTTTTAAAAATTCCTTTTTTTTTAAATAAATTATTTCATCGAAAAAAAAATTTTAATCTTCAATTTTTCTTTTTGCCATTGCCCTCACTACTTTCACAGAAAAGATTATTTTTCGGAAAATTAGAAAATGAAATTGAAGCATGAGTTTAATTCTCAATCCAGTATTGATTGTTTTAAATTCTTGCCCACTAGGTTTCTGCAATTTTTTTATATTTGTTTTTTTCCATAAATTTTTATGATTTTAAGTTTGGGAGAAAAATAGCTATTCTTCATGTTTTCGCTAAAAAAACTGTTTTAAAAAAAATCGAAATTCAACAAACTGAAAATGCTTAAGACATTGAAAATGAGGTAACCAACAACTTTTGCCCACCAAAAAGAAAAAAACAAGTTTTTGTTACGGAGTTTAAACTTTTGATTGAAATAAATTTAAACGCTCTTTTGTCATCTGCATTAAAAAGAAGTACTTTTTCAAAGAAAGTATATGAAATATATTTTGGAAATTTTTGTACTCAAATTAACAATTTAATTGGTGTAGTTTAAATCAACGAAAATTTTGAAATTATTTTCTGTTTTCTTCATTTAATTGGCTTTAAATTTCTACATCTGTGCAGATGGCATCTAACAATGAAAATATGCAAAAAATTGGAGTTGAAAAATTAATAAAAATTGCTCATTTCATTTCACAATTTATTTCTACTGGAAACAGAGAAATTCTAATGTTCTCTCATCCATTAGAGTAAGCAATAACATCGATAATAGCTTCTGACATATTTCTAGAAGCGATAACTTGTGCAAGTATAACATATTCATTCTTGATTATTTGACACATGTTCAGTTTTGAACCAATCAGCTCAAATCAATCTGAATGAAAGAAAAGAAATGTAAGGCATTGTGTAAATACGTGGTGGAAAATTTTTCTAAAGCAATCAAAAAAAAATTCAGAATTTGGTTTAAAGTGAAAACATTTCTAAATAGCAAATAACAACTGGAATCAGTAATCAAATTCAATTTACAAAAAAATGTAGTACTTCTGAGTTATCCATTCCTTATTCTTTACTAAAGGTTGAACATCTTGTCCAAAAATTTAGCATCTCTTTACTTTGTTTTTTTGTCAGATTAAACTGAATGTAAACAAATTTATTAGAACTTAATAAAAATAAAAAAAAAAATCATGAAAGCAGTGAAGCAGGTAATAGCTAGCATCAGTAATAGCTTCCAGAATATTTCTGAAAACGATAATCTTGTGCAAGCATAAGTCCAGTTAAATCAATCAGTTCCAATCAACACGAAAGGAAAAAGCGAAATTTAAGGCGATGAGACATTTCAAAAAAGATCCTTCATTTCCAAGAAATTATCGCATGAAACCGGATCAGAAATACGAACTATGAAGAAAATTCCATCCGGTATGAAGAAACCAGGATTGTATCCTGCTACTCGTACACAACTACGAAATCATATCATTGTGCGCCAATGTAATCGATTATTTAACGAATGAATTGCACGTAATGGAGACACCAAAAGGAATTCAATTCCAAGAATTAACAAAAAAAAAAAAAATTAAAAATGGAAAAAAAAATCCGACGTACTAACTGGATCTGATTATTTCTGATTAAATTTATTATTGTTGGAAGTAGTGAAATTAACAAAATTTATAAGAAGAATGCCATTAACTTTTTTCAGACGTATTACCAAAACAGTTATCGAGTATAATTAAAGTACATCCAAAGGATAAGGTAAGTAGGTAGCTAAATTATCACGGATTTTTATCGCGAAACATATCGTAATTTGAGATGCTAATGCTGAAGTTTTGCAGACTTTGCTTTGAGAGTTTAACCTTTTCATTTACGATAATCAGATCTCATAAGAAGTTTATAAGCTTCAAAATTGACTGAGATATACCTAACTTTTCTCTGATGATATACCTTATCTAATGTTCAACGTGGCGATTAAAATTTCAATACTAGAGTGTCCCAGGTTCTCTCGTGAGGCTCTAGTTAGCACAGTATTCATTTCATATTTCGATTGTTATATTTTTTATTCAATCTTAAAAGACTCTCCATATTTGTCTCTTAGCGCTTTTATCATTTCGTAATTTTCTGAGATTGTAGTATAACCCTTACTATTTGCAAAGTGTTTGAAACTATTCCAAAACTATTGCCAATTCTAGGGTCTACACTAAAACTTTAGTCTTTAATTATTAAGTGACCATTTCCCTTTTCAATAAAATTTCATCAAAACTGAAAAACATCTTAATTTTTGAGTTTTAAACATCTCAGTTGATACAAGTTAATTGGAAATTAGTTGAGATTTTTAGAATCGAAATTAATTGTAGCCTAAAATTGAATCAAAATTCGAATGATAAAAACAATGAAAGCTGGAGCTGAACAAAGAATTTCAAGAGGAATACCGATACCTGCATTATAACAATTTACAAAAACTACTAACCGGAATGCATATATTCCGTCAATTCATCACTCGACAAAACTCTCACCGACTTGATTATGTTTCAAACTTACCTTATTTTAGTATTGTTAGGAAACTGAAAACATGTTTGCAATGTAAAGCTGAACGCCAGAAGTAAAAAGATCACCTTAAGTAATAAAAAAATTGGCTACGCTATATTACTATATAAGGTCTCCTTTTTTCTTCATATTTTAAAATTTAAAACCAATCTAATTTAACATTGGAATTCCGAAATATAAACGTCTGAAGTATCCTTCTTGAACTAAAAGAAATGATAGTCCTGAATTTCAATTACTTGTAAAGGAAGCAAACTTTTACAAATTTCAAATATGAAATCACTTCTTTTGTTGCGTTCTTTCTTTTAGGCTATAAACTCTTTAACATGTTGAAGAAACAATTAAGTTCTTTACTTTTGCAAATTCAATTTTCAGCACATAGAAAATGGGACAATTTAATTTAATTAATTACGAGTAGGCGATTAACCAATTTTGGCACTCAGAACTGCAGCATACAAAGAAATAAATCATAGAAATTGGAATAAATAAAGTAATGAATTTGTGAAAAGATTAGAAGAGATGAAATATATGTCACGTTGTGATTTCGTGATAGGTGCAATTAATGATATCGCAACAACGAGAACATAAGAGATAGATTAAAAGAAATATATTGACTAATAAGATATAAATAATTAACAACAACAGAAATAGCAATGAGTGTGCATTTCTTCTTTTAAAGTGAAACGTAAAGCATAAGTTTTAATGGTTCTTCATGTGCAATTTCAAGCCGAGTTTACTTCTGAAACCCTTACTGCATACCGTACAACGGTACATAGGTCTATTCATGTCATGAGTCGCAATGTGAGTCTGTAAATTGCACTTTTTTAAAAAACTTTTCCCGCATATCGGACAACTGCACGGCTTTTCACCGGTATGGATCATCATATGTTCTTTCACATACACAGAGCGACTAAAATTCTTTTTGCATATTGAACAACTATACGGCTTTTCACCAGTATGAGTCATTATATGTCTTTTCATATTATTGGACTGAGTGAAATTTTTTTTACATACCGAACAGCTGTACGGCTTCTCACCGGTATGTGTCAACATATGAGTTTTTATATTCCTGAACTGAGTAAAATTCCTTTTGCATATCGAACAACTGTATGGCTTCGTACCGGTATGAGTCATCATATGTTTTTTCATACTCCCATACTGAGTGAAATTCTCTTTGCATATCGAACAACTATACGACTTCTTGATAGTATGCGTCCTCATATGTATTTTCATATTCCCGAACTGAGTGAAATCTTTTTTGCATATCGAACAACTGTACGGCTTCTTACCGGTGTGAATCATCATATGGTCTTTTATGTTTACCACTTCCTTCTGACATACATTACAGCGTTGTTTCTTTCTTGTGCTTTTTTTTTGCTTTGATAATTCCATTACTTCCATCATTGTTTCGATTGGAAGGAGCCGTTCAAGCAGTTTTATTCGTCCATCACTTTCTGTCTCCACTGATAATCCTTGGGATTCGCTCCCTTCCTTTTTTATTTTCGATATTGATAAATCCAACGATTCTGTTTGATCCGTTTGCGCTACCTTAAATTAATATGCAATTATCAATCTAACACTGTGCAAAATTTTAAATCTCCAAGGTATTACAGCGTTATGTAGTTTTTAAGTGGACTTACGGTAGTTTGAATATTGCTCAATTGGAGGAAGAAGAAGAAAAAATAGATCGAATACATGTCAATGATAATAATTTCTGTCCAATTCTAAAAAGTAATCAATTTTACTGGCTGCTGTTTGACAAAAGTGCAAGGGAGAAATTTGTCCAATTAAATGCTTTTTAAAATATATTCCATTATTTACAAATTTATCATCGAACCCCAAAATTCTTCTTATAACTCAAAACTCTAAAAAAAGGTAACATCTTTTATTAAAATAAATGAATGAAAATTGTGGAAAAGAGTTTGACAAAGGCCATCCAATCACTTCTGTTAGATACTGTTGGATGATTGTATCTATAGCATTTGCTTATTCAAATGGGAGTGGTAAACTACGTGTATTGATAAGTTATAACGTCCATGTATAACAATATAGATATACTAATAATAATAGAATATAAAATATTACGCATGTTTAATACAATAGCAATCACTGTTTAATCTTCTACATTGAATAATTTCATTTTAGTTGCTACATACATTGTTGGAAATAATTTATGCAAAACAGTTGTCATTTTTTTTTTACAATTTTATTTTATTTCGCTTCAATTTCTCCACATTTTCAAATCTATGGAATATTAGCGAAGTTGGATAACTACATTGCTACGTCTTTTGTAGTTGGAATGGAGAAAATTGAAGATGTTAAGGAAGAACTTACACAAATGAGAAAGGCTTGTTAAACAAATGTAAGTGAAGTAACCTTCGAGCATATTCCAATCAGATCGAACCGGTTCACAAAGCGGAGGCATCTACGGATTTTTTATTTTTATTAAATTCTAGAGAATTATTTACAATCAGTTTAATTTGATAAATATGTATAAATTATATCTTGTCACCATCCTTGTTATTATGCAAAACAGTTGTCATTTTTAATTTATGCAAAACAGTTGTCATTTTTTTTTACTACGTCTCTCTTTACATTGCTACGTCTTTTGTAGTTGATAATATTGATTTCAACAAATCCTCCGAATCTTTTGCTTACACTTCATTATTAACTTATTTTTTAAATTTGCTAAACTTGTCGAGAACAAGCTCGAAATTCCACTAGAAATAATCTTTGTGCCGAACAATCGAATTTAGCAAAGGGTCAAATTTAAATCAATGTATTTATATTTAAGCAAATCATGTTAATCATTTATTGTAAGTTTTATTGTAATTCAAATTCTTTAATGACTCATAGATGGTAATGTGTTAACAAATTCCCATGCTAATCTGTCATATTATCTAATGCACATCTTTCCAATCCTTTGTTTGTTATCTAATTCCGTTTACAAAAACTATCTTTCCCATAGCCTTCCTCCTAGCTTCCATTGTATCAATCGCTTTATCTCTCCACCCTCAAATCATGCTATATAAGGGCAATGACCACTCAACCAGAGGATTGTTCCAGAAGTCTCCCCGTTGCTTAGCTCATCCTCCTCACTAAATTGTCAAACTACTGATTGCTTGTTTGGTTTAATTACCCAAGATAAAGCACTCGACTCAATTGTGCAAGTAAAACAACCCAATTCAATCCATTCACAACACCAATCCAATCCAATACATTCACAACAAATTTTATGGTGCCACGAGCCGGGAACATGTCATCCATCATCATCAGAACCGCAGACCAAACAAAACGAAGATTGTGTGAAGTCCTCAACGAAATCAAGCGTCTGAACTTGGATTCGGTCGACCAAATGACAACAACCGACGAAACAATCCGTCTTCATCAGGAACGGAGAAGGATCACCCAAGAAAAAATCATGCATATCCAAATATACATAGAGGCGTTGGAATCGGTCAATACAGAGTAGAAACAATTCATCCAGCAGATTTCAGTCTCAACCAAAAGAAAAGAAGAAGAAGATCGATACCTTCAGATAAACGATGATGAATCAGGTATTACCAACTTAATTTTACAAGCAAAACAAACTGTAGTCATTTTAAAAATGTATCAAAATGATTCGGAGTTCATATTACAACGGTTAAATCAGTCTATGGTAAGGGAGGAAACAACTCAACCCAAGGAACCCACACAAGCGGGTAAATACCCTACAGTAAATCTCCCACAACTACCACTGCCCACATTCAGTGGGAATCCAAGACGCTGGAGGGAATTTTGGAATAGCTTTGATACAGCTATACATCAACAAGCAATTCCCGATATCCATAAACTAAACTATCTCATCGCATGTCTCAAAGGAGACGCCCTCCAAGCTATCAGAGGTTATGACATAACTCCGGAGAATTACAGTATCGTAAGAAATGTCCTCGTCGAAAAGTTTGGGCAGCCTTACGCCATCAAACGAGCCTTGTTCACCGAATTATACTCCATCAAAAAGAACGATAGAGAGTGGAAAGCAACGCTTGAGGCCATTGAGCGAACACTTCGACAATTGGAGGCCATCGGTGAGAATTTAGAGCAGTCCGGTATCGAAATAGCTGTGGAAGGGAAATTGCCAACCTGGATCCTAGAACAGGTTTACAGAAGAAAGAGGCAGGAATCGTGGTCTGTCACCAAACTCCGAAACTTCCTCACGGAGCTTGCATCTGTGAACGAAGAAGTAGTACAAAGCCAGTCCCTATGGTTTAAAGGGAATATGGAGAATCAATCTCCAATAAAAGGCAAGCCAAGACCACGACACAATCCCAATGAGACTTCAGCCTTAACAACCTCTGTTCCGGAGAAACCCATCATCAAAGCCCTATCAAGACCTTGTGCACTATGCAACAAGAATCACTGGGATGAAGAGTGCCAGATTTATCCCACTCTCAAACAAAGGCTGCAACGTCTGAAGAAACTAAACGCTTGCCTCAACTGCTTCAAGATCGGACATATGGCAGCCAGATGCAAAAACAAGAAACGGAATTGCTTCCACTGCAAGGGTCAACACAATTCCGCGTTGTGCCCTAACAAATTCAAGGAAATGCCCAATAAACCAGAGGATCCAGACTCCACTACCACGACAAATATAATAGTCGAAAAAGAGAAGAAACGTGACAAGCGCATCCTACTCTTATGCAAGCAGATAAATGTGTTCAACCCAACTAATCCAAATACTCAACAAAGGGCTTTAGCCCTATTCGACGTTGGATCACAATTATCCTTTGTTTCAAAGAACTTAGCCAAACAACTAATGCTTAACGAAACAGATGAAGGGAAATTAAACATCGCTTCATTCGGCAAAAAGGACCCGAACACGCACCTAACCACCAGAATTGAAATAGGGATAAAAATCGGAAAGGACCGTACAGTGTTGCTCGAAGCGAACACCGTGGACTATTTAACAAACAAACTACAAGTAGTCAACTTAAGTGAAAGCGACATACGATCCCTCAAAGGAAGTCCAACAATTGATTTCCACAGTGAATGGAAGCAACCGGATATATTAATAGGAGCCAACCACTTCTTTCAATTCATCAATTTCGACAAAGCAGAGAATCTGCAATCGGGATTCACACTGCTCCACACTAAAGTGGGCCCGATCCTGGCTGGGTCTGGCTATACAAAGAAAATTTCTCCCAATTCACGAATGTCCTCACAAATAGTTTACGCCGCTAACACGATCAACGTTCCAGATTTAGATCAATTCTGGAAACTGTAACTAATAGGCATACAAGACAAACCCGAGATCAATGACGATGAAGAAGCCTTAAAACAATTTAAGAAAACGATTAGAAAATCCGATGGACGATACCAGGTCGCATGGCCATGGAAAGATACCAGTTCCAAATTAAGCGACAATTTCGAATTATGTCTCGGACGCTTACAGTCGTTAATCAAGCGACTTCACCGCAACCAACATCTACTTACCACATACAATGAAACAATCAATGAACAGTTAAGATCCAATGTCATCGAAAGGGTAAGTCATTTCACAAACCATCAAGGTATTATCCATTACTTGCCCCATCATGAAGTGGTAAAATCAGATAACACCACGACAAAGGTCAGAATAGTTTATGACGCTTCCGCTCACCTCAGAGGCAGGAAAAGCTTAAACGATGTCTTGTATCGAGGCCCTATCACCCTTCCCGATTTAGCTGGAATATTAATTCGACTAAGAACAATGAAAATCATCATAATAGCTGACGTCGAAAAAGCCTTCCTACAATTAGAGTTGCTGCCAACGGAACGGGACTGCACACGCTTTCTATGGGTAAAAGATATTCAGAAACAGGTGGACAGAGATAATTTAATATGCTATCGATTCAAAAGGGTTCCCTTTGGAGTGATATCGTCACCCTTTTTATTATCAGCAACTCTCAATTATCATTTGGAACATTATGAGACTGAAACTGCACGTGAAATCAAGAAGAATCTCTACGTCGACAATATCATCTTATCAGCGAGCCATGAAAAGGAAGCCTTGAATAAATATGAAGAAACAAAATCAGTTTTCAAGGATGCGTCAATGAACGTGCGAGAATTCCTCTCAAATGACCAGACATTCAATGAGCAACTACCCAAGTCAGACCGAGCACGAATGAGTCAAATAAAGAAAATATTAGGGATTAAGTGGAATCCACACAAGGATCATATCCAGATAACATTAAATCCATGGACCGAACAAACAACAACAAAAAGAACTATTCTACGGTTCATCGCCTCACAATACGACCCACTTGGATTCCTAGTACCACTGATAGTACCGTTCAAGATATTTCTCCAAGAACTCTGGAGAAAAAACATACATTGGGATCAACCCCTCGACAATCAATTGATTGAAACCTGGAACAATCTTGTGGTAGAATGCCCAACTCATATCAATGCCCAAACGCGATTCACAATCGATTTATCACAACAAATTATCTTTCATGTTTTCACCGATGCATCTACAGTGGCATATGCTGCAGTAGTATACGCCCATCAAAATACGCATACGTCGTTACTCTTTGCTAAATCACGATTAGCACCTATTAAAGGAATGACGATACCAAAGCTAGAATTACTAGCTATTCTCATCGGTGTACGTGCAGCTCAGTTTGTCATCAAACAAATGGAATTAGAAAATCCAAAGGTAGTGGTATGGTCGGACTCTCGCTGTGCACTACATTGGATACAAAACAATTCTCGCCTCCTACCAAAATTTATACAGAATCGTGTGGAAGAAATACAAATGGCGAAATTCGCATATCGGTATATCCCAAGCGAACACAATCCAGCAGACATTGCTACCAGAGGAACCTTTCCGACTCGTCTAATAAGTTACGAGCCTTGGTGGAGCGGGCCCACATGGATCAATGGTAATGAACCGAATTGGCCTCATTGGGAATACGACGTTCCACAAGAAGAGGATAACGAAGAAGATAAGAATATAGTAGCAACAACAACCACAGAAGAAATCATCAATACAAATCGAATCAATCTCCTGGAGGCAAAACGATTCAGTAAATGGACAAAGATGATAAGAACAACAGTAAGAGTACTAAAATTTCTCAAAAAATTATCTAAAGGAAAATTAACCTGGTTAAGCAGCGTATCAGAAAGGAATCCGATTACACCCGAGGATTACAATCTCGCTGCGGAACTACTAATAAAACAATCCCAATCGGAAGGTATAACAGCAGAAGAAGTGGAAAAGTACAATCTGCACTATGCAGACAGGTACTGGAGATTCCAAAGCAGACTACAATTGCCGAACGACAGGGAATACTCATCCCAAACAATATATCTCCCCAGACACAATCGAATAACAGAACTAATTATTCAACACCACCACGAAACGACGCATCATGGAGGTATCCCTCAAACTATTTCCAGAATAAGAAACCTTTACTGGATTCCGAAAGGAAGGGCTGAAGTCAAGAAGGTGTTAAACCGCTGTATGAGTTGCAAACGCTGGAAAGCCAAGCCATTCAAATTGCCACCTATGCCAAATTATCCGCAAGAGCGGATCACTGAATCAAGAACGTTTGGACGAATTGGCCTCGACTATTTGGGGCCGATTACTGTGAAGATACAATTGGAAAAAGCAAAGCGATGGATCGCCTTGTTCACATGCTTCACCACCAGAGCGGTACATTTGGAAATGGTGGACGATCTATCAGCGGAAAGTTTCCTAACTGCATTAAGAAGATTTGTTGCGCGACGCGGCTATCCCGAACTCATTCTTTCGGACAATGCCACCCAATTTCAGGCAGTTTTTCAAGCCATAAAAACGCAAGAATCACAACTCTCTAATTTCCTTGCTGAGAAAGGAATCAAATGTAAGACTATAACACCGAGAGCACCATGGAGCGGCGGAATCTACGAAAGATTAATCGGCCTAACAAAAAGGAGTTTAAGAAGAGCTATCGGTAGACGGCTGCTTAAGGAAGGGGAACTAATCACACTGATTATCGAAGTGGAAAGCATTCTTAATACTTGCCCCTTAACTTACGTAAATTTCGACGACTCAATTATTTTGCGACCAATAGACTTCATCATTCCCAATGCTTCTTTGTCTATACTGAATAGCAATAACGACAGAGAAGACGAATTCTCACCTTATAGTCTAACCACACAAGAAAGGTTACTTCAACACTGGTCGAATACCCTAGAAACATTGAAAACATTTTGGGAGATATGGAAAGACGAATACTTGAATAGCTTAAAGGATCGATACCAATTAGAACATAAATCTCCAAGAAATGTAGAAAAGAGACAGCCGATAGAAGGAGAAGTGGTACTGTTAAATGAGCCTCATGCACCACGTGGTACATGGAAACTAGCAAGGATAAAGAAATTAAACGTAGCCAATGATGGGTACGTCAGGAGCGCTCAGATCGAAACATCGTCAGGAAAACTTCTAAATCGACCTGTAAGCACGTTGTATCCACTTGAAGTTACTCCAGAAGAACAGTCTACTCCGGAGAACCCCGCGAACCCATCAGAGAGAGCAGAACCAATTATCCAAAACCGAAACACCACAACTAACACGAAGATTTCGAGTGAAAGTGGTGAGGAGCAACCTATTGCTCATCGAACACGGAGCCAGACAAATTTACAAAAAAGGGAGAAGTCAAATTTCGTTTTAACCAACTTACTGTTAACAGTAGCAATATCGATAATTCTACAAGCAGCAGAAACGAAGGAATGCAAATGGACATCAGGTGTTCCATTTAACATGCCTCAGAAATGGAATTGCAAAACAATTGAAACTCGTAACGCCACACCGATTCGAATTACAGTCTACACGCATGTTCATGTGAAAATACCTACCACCATCCCTTTACATTTAATTCAAACTTGTACTACCCATAATCAAGGTTTAGAAAGTGTTGAAGATCACAATGTTTTATCCTATAAACCCCAAATCTATCCATTAGAATACTTTTCGCTCTTCCCTCGGGAGTGTCGAGAACAAGCTCGAAATTCCACTAGAAATAATCTTTGTACCGAACAATCGAATTTAGCAAAGGGTCAAATTTAAATCAATGTATTTATATTTAAGCAAATCATGTTAATCATTTATTGTAAGTTTTATTGTAATTCAAATTCTTTAATGACTCATAGATGGTAATGTGTTAACAAATTCCCATGCTAATCTGTCATATTATCTAATGCACATCTTTCCAATCCTTTGTTTGTTATCTAATTCCGTTTACAAAAACTATCTTTCCCATAGCCTTCCTCCTAGCTTCCATTGTATCAATCGCTTTATCTCTCCACCCTCAAATCATGCTATATAAGGGCAATGACCACTCAACCAGAGGATTGTTCCAGAAGTCTCCCCGTTGCTTAGCTCATCCTCCTCACTAAATTGTCAAACTACTGATTGCTTGTTTGGTTTAATTACCCAAGATAAAGCACTCGACTCAATTGTGCAAGTAAAACAAACCAATTCAATCCATTCACAACACCAATCCAATCCAATACATTCACAACAAAACTAGGCTTATTAAATTTTCTTACAGTCATTGTGCACAACATCATATGATGAAAGTAGCTGTCAAATAAGTACCAATGATGATTTCTAATATTTATTAATCTTTCAAATTCCAAGCATTGTGAAACTGAAAAAGAATAAAAAGAGGTGGTAAAGTTTTATCATTTATTTGCAGTAATCAATAATGAAAAACACTGGTTCCGTCCAATAACTGTTAATCAGTGTATGGTTGGCAACACTTAAAATATTGAACTAGAAGGTATCGGTTCGCCATCTGTGGCTATGTAACTACTTATGATTATGTATCTATGACCACAACAAAGCTCGAACTGGAACTATTTATAATTCCTAACCGTAAAACTTAGGTAGGACAGAAAGGACAGGCTTCAATTTTTTTCTTATAAACAAGGATGGTGACAAGATATAATTTATACATATTTATCAAATTAAACTGATTGTAAATAATTCTCTAGAATTTAATAAAAATAAAAAATCCGTAGATGCCTCCGCTTTGTGAACCGGTTCGATCTGATTGGAATATGCTCGAAGGTTACTTCACTTACATTTGTTTAACAAGCCTTTCTCATTTGTGTAAGTTCTTCCTTAACATCTTCAATTTTCTCCATTCCAACTACAAAAGACGTAGCAATGTAGTTATCCAACTTCGCTAATATTCCATAGATTTGAAAATGTGGAGAAATTGAAGCGAAATAAAATAAAATTGTAAAAAAAAAAATGACAACTGTTTTGCATAAATTATTTCCAACAATGTATGTAGCAACTAAAATGAAATTATTCAATGTAGAAGATTAAACAGTGATTGCTATTGTATTAAACATGCGTAATATTTTATATTCTATTATTATTAGTATATCTATATTGTTATACATGGACGTTATAACTTATCAATACACAATCATCCAACAGTATCTAACAGAAGTGATTGGATGGCCTTTGTCAAACTCTTTTCCACAATTTTCATTCATTTATTTTAATAAAAGATGTTACCTTTTTTTAGAGTTTTGAGTTATAAGAAGAATTTTGGGGTTCGATGATAAATTTGTAAATAATGGAATATATTTTAAAAAGCATTTAATTGGACAAATTTCTCCCTTGCACTTTTGTCAAACAGCAGCCAGTAAAATTGATTACTTTTTAGAATTGGACAGAAATTATTATCATTGACATGTATTCGATCTATTTTTTCTTCTTCTTCCTCCAATTGAGCAATATTCAAACTACCGTAAGTCCACTTAAAAACTACATAACGCTGTAATACCTTGGAGATTTAAAATTTTGCACAGTGTTAGATTGATAATTGCATATTAATTTAAGGTAGCGCAAACGGATCAAACAGAATCGTTGGATTTATCAATATCGAAAATAAAAAAGGAAGGGAGCGAATCCCAAGGATTATCAGTGGAGACAGAAAGTGATGGACGAATAAAACTGCTTGAACGGCTCCTTCCAATCGAAACAATGATGGAAGTAATGGAATTATCAAAGCAAAAAAAAAGCACAAGAAAGAAACAACGCTGTAATGTATGTCAGAAGGAAGTGGTAAACATAAAAGACCATATGATGATTCACACCGGTAAGAAGCCGTACAGTTGTTCGATATGCAAAAAAGATTTCACTCAGTTCGGGAATATGAAAATACATATGAGGACGCATACTATCAAGAAGTCGTATAGTTGTTCGATATGCAAAGAGAATTTCACTCAGTATGGGAGTATGAAAAAACATATGATGACTCATACCGGTACGAAGCCATACAGTTGTTCGATATGCAAAAGGAATTTTACTCAGTTCTGGAATATAAAAACTCATATGTTGACACATACCGGTGAGAAGCCGTACAGTTGTTCGGTATGTAAAAAAAATTTCACTCAGTTCGGGAATATGAAAAGACATATAATGACTCATACTGGTGAAAAGCCGTATAGTTGTTCAATATGCAAAAAGAATTTTAGTCGCTCTGTGTATGTGAAAGAACATATGATGATCCATACCGGTGAAAAGCCGTGCAGTTGTCCGATATGCGGGAAAAGTTTTTTAAAAAAGTGCAATTTACAGACTCACATTGCGACTCATGACATGAATTGACTTATGTACCGTTGTACGGTATGCAGTAAGGGTTTCAGAAGTAAACTCGGCTTGAAATTGCACATGAAGAACCATTAAAACTTATGCTTTACGTTTCACTTTAAAAGAAGAAATGCACACTCATTGCTATTTCTGTTGTTGTTAATTATTTATATCTTATTAGTCAATATATTTCTTTTAATCTATCTCTTATGTTCTCGTTGTTGCGATATCATTAATTGCACCTATCACGAAATCACAACGTGACATATATTTCATCTCTTCTAATCTTTTCACAAATTCATTACTTTATTTATTCCAATTTCTATGATTTATTTCTTTGTATGCTGCAGTTCTGAGTGCCAAAATTGGTTAATCGCCTACTCGTAATTAATTAAATTAAATTGTCCCATTTTCTATGTGCTGAAAATTGAATTTGCAAAAGTAAAGAACTTAATTGTTTCTTCAGCATGTTAAAGAGTTTATAGCCTAAAAGAGTTTATAAGAGTTTATAGCGCTTTTTCCTTTCGCGTTTCCAATCAACGCGAAAGGAAAAAGCGAAATTTAAGGCGATGAGACATTTCAAAAAAGATCCTTCATTTCCAAGAAATTATCGCATGAAACCGGATCAGAAATACGAACTATGAAGAAAATTCCATCCGGTATGAAGAAACCAGGATTGTATCCTGCTACTCGTACACAACTACGAAATCATATCATTGTGCGCCAATGTAATCGATTATTTAACGAATGAATTGCACGTAATGGAGACACCAAAAGGAATTCAATTCCAAGAATTAACAAAAAAAAAAAAAATTAAAAATGGAAAAAAAAATCCGACGTACTAACTGGATCTGATTATTTCTGATTAAATTTATTATTGTTGGAAGTAGTGAAATTAACAAAATTTATAAGAAGAATGCCATTAACTTTTTTCAGACGTATTACCAAAACAGTTATCGAGTATAATTAAAGTACATCCAAAGGATAAGGTAAGTAGGTAGCTAAATTATCACGGATTTTTATCGCGAAACATATCGTAATTTGAGATGCTAATGCTGAAGTTTTGCAGACTTTGCTTTGAGAGTTTAACCTTTTCATTTACGATAATCAGATCTCATAAGAAGTTTATAAGCTTCAAAATTGACTGAGATATACCTAACTTTTCTCTGATGATATACCTTATCTAATGTTCAACGTGGCGATTAAAATTTCAATACTAGAGTGTCCCAGGTTCTCTCGTGAGGCTCTAGTTAGCACAGTATTCATTTCATATTTCGATTGTTATATTTTTTATTCAATCTTAAAAGACTCTCCATATTTGTCTCTTAGCGCTTTTATCATTTCGTAATTTTCTGAGATTGTAGTATAACCCTTACTATTTGCAAAGTGTTTGAAACTATTCCAAAACTATTGCCAATTCTAGGGTCTACACTAAAACTTTAGTCTTTAATTATTAAGTGACCATTTCCCTTTTCAATAAAATTTCATCAAAACTGAAAAACATCTTAATTTTTGAGTTTTAAACATCTCAGTTGATACAAGTTAATTGGAAATTAGTTGAGATTTTTAGAATCGAAATTAATTGTAGCCTAAAATTGAATCAAAATTCGAATGATAAAAACAATGAAAGCTGGAGCTGAACAAAGAATTTCAAGAGGAATACCGATACCTGCATTATAACAATTTACAAAAACTACTAACCGGAATGCATATATTCCGTCAATTCATCACTCGACAAAACTCTCACCGACTTGATTATGTTTCAAACTTACCTTATTTTAGTATTGTTAGGAAACTGAAAACATGTTTGCAATGTAAAGCTGAACGCCAGAAGTAAAAAGATCACCTTAAGTAATAAAAAAATTGGCTACGCTATATTACTATATAAGGTCTCCTTTTTTCTTCATATTTTAAAATTTAAAACCAATCTAATTTAACATTGGAATTCCGAAATATAAACGTCTGAAGTATCCTTCTTGAACTAAAAGAAATGATAGTCCTGAATTTCAATTACTTGTAAAGGAAGCAAACTTTTACAAATTTCAAATATGAAATCACTTCTTTTGTTGCGTTCTTTCTTTTAGGCTATAAACTCTTTAACATGTTGAAGAAACAATTAAGTTCTTTACTTTTGCAAATTCAATTTTCAGCACATAGAAAATGGGACAATTTAATTTAATTAATTACGAGTAGGCGATTAACCAATTTTGGCACTCACAACTGCATCATACAAAGAAATAAATCATAGAAGTTGGAATAAATAAAGTAATGAATTTGTGAAAAGATTAGAAGAGATGAAATATATGTCACGTTGTGATTTCGTGATAGGTGCAATTAATGATATCGCAACAACGAGAACATAAGAGATAGATTTAAAGAAATATATTGACTAATAAGATATAAATAATTAACAACAACAGAAATAGCAATGAGTGTGCATTTCTTCTTTTAAAGTGAAACGTAAAGCATAAGTTTTAATGGTTCTTCATGTGCAATTTCAAGCCGAGTTTACTTCTGAAACCCTTACTGCATACCGTACAACGGTACATAGGTCTATTCATGTCATGAGTCGCAATGTGAGTCTGCAAATTGCACTTTTTTAAAAAACTTTTCCCGCATATCGGACAACTGCACGGCTTTTCACCGGTATGGATCATCATATGTTCTTTCACATGCGCAGAGAGACTAAAATTCTTTCTGCATATTGAGCAACTATACGGCTTTTCACCAGTATGAGTCATTATATGTCTTTTCATATTATTGGACTGAGTGAAATTTTTTTTACATACCGAACAACTGTACGGCTTCTCACCGGTATGTGTCAACATATGAGTTTTTATATTCCAGAACTGAGTAAAATTCCTTTTGCATATCGAACAACTGTATGGCTTCTTACCGGTATGAATCAACATATGCATTTTCATATCCCCATACTGAGTGAAATTCTCTTTGCATATCGAACAACTATACGACTTCTCGCTAGTATGTGTCATCATATGTCTTTTCATATTCCCGAACTGAGTGAAATTTTTTTTACATATCGAACAACTGTACGGTTTCTCACCGGTATGAATCATCATATGTTTTTTCATATTCCCGAACTCAGCGAAATCCCTTTTGCATATCGAACAACTGTACGGCTTCTTACAGGTATGAGTCATCATATGGTCTTTTATCATTTCCTTCTGACATACATTACAGCGTTGTTTCTTTCTTGTGCTTTCTTTTTGCTTTGATAATTCCATTACTTCCATCATTGTTTCGATTGGAAGGAGCCGTTCAAGCAGTTTTATTCGTCCATCACTTTCTGTCTCCACTGATAATCCTTGGGATTCGCTCCCTTCCTTTTTTATTTTCGATATTGATAAATCCAACGATTCTGTTTGATCCGTTTGCGCTACCTTAAATTAATATGCAATTATCAATCTAACACTGTGCAAAATTTTAAATCTCCAAGGTATTACAGCGTTATGTAGTTTTTAAGTGGACTTACGGTAGTTTGAATATTGCTCAATTGGAGGAAGAAGAAGAAAAAATAGATCGAATACATGTCAATGATAATAATTTCTGTCCAATTCTAAAAAGTAATCAATTTTACTGGCTGCTGTTTGACAAAAGTGCAAGGGAGAAATTTGTCCAATTAAATGCTTTTTAAAATATATTCCATTATTTACAAATTTATCATCGAACCCCAAAATTCTTCTTATAACTCAAAACTCTAAAAAAAGGTAACATCTTTTATTAAAATAAATGAATGAAAATTGTGGAAAAGAGTTTGACAAAGGCCATCCAATCACTTCTGTTAGATACTGTTGGATGATTGTATCTATAGCATTTGCTTATTCAAATGGGAGTGGTAAACTACGTGTATTGATAAGTTATAACGTCCATGTATAACAATATAGATATACTAATAATAATAGAATATAAAATATTACGCATGTTTAATACAATAGCAATCACTGTTTAATCTTCTACATTGAATAATTTCATTTTAGTTGCTACATACATTGTTGGAAATAATTTATGCAAAACAGTTGTCATTTTTTTTTTACAATTTTATTTTATTTCGCTTCAATTTCTCCACATTTTCAAATCTATGGAATATTAGCGAAGTTGGATAACTACATTGCTACGTCTTTTGTAGTTGGAATGGAGAAAATTGAAGATGTTAAGGAAGAACTTACACAAATGAGAAAGGCTTGTTAAACAAATGTAAGTGAAGTAACCTTCGAGCATATTCCAATCAGATCGAACCGGTTCACAAAGCGGAGGCATCTACGGATTTTTTATTTTTATTAAATTCTAGAGAATTATTTACAATCAGTTTAATTTGATAAATATGCATAAATTATATCTTGTCACCATCCTTGTTTATAGGAAAAAAATTGAAGCCTGTCCTTTCTGTCCTACCTAAGTTTTACGGTTAGGAATTATAAATAGTTCCAGTTCGAGCTTTGTTGTGGTCATAGATACATAATCATAAGTAGTTACATAGCCACAGATGGCGAACCGATACCTTCTAGTTCAATATTTTAAGTGTTGCCAACCATACACTGATTAACAGTTATTGGACGGAACCAGTGTTTTTCATTATTGATTACTGCAAATAAATGATAAAACTTTACCACCTCTTTTTATTCTTTTTCAGTTTCACAATGCTTGGAATTTGAAAGATTAATAAATATTAGAAATCATCATTGGTACTTATTTGACAGCTACTTTCATCATATGATGTTGTGCACAATGACTGTAAGAAAATTTAATAAGCCTAGTTTAGCAAATTTAAAAAATAAGTTAATAATGAAGTGTAAGCAAAAGATTCGAAGGATTTAAATTTTTTTTCTTCTTAAATTTCTGAAATTTTTGAGGTGTAATCTGAAATTTGACTGATAATTTTGTTAATTTAAATTCTGAAAAAAGAAAACAATTATAATTTGCTGAAATTTCATTATTCTAGTGATCAAACAGCAGTTCAAGAACGAGCTACTATGCTAGGCGCAAGCATACTATTTCTAATTGTTGCTGTTCGACCGGAATATGGAATAATGCTGCAGAATACATTGCATTAACTAAAGTGAAACTGTCGATGTTTCTGGAAATTTATAAATTCGTTAATAAAATATTAATTAAATAAATGACAGTACTTAATAGCGAAACTTAGTGCTATTCATTTACGCATACCAGTTATTTTGCATCATATTAATTATTGCACTACATTATTAGCAACTATCAGTCCTTCGTCATCCATTTTCTTTTCTATTTCTTTAGCAATATCAGCTGATCGTAAAGATTGTCGGATCTATGCTTAAAGTAAAGAGCAAAAAAAAGTAGTAAAATTTATTTCGTCTTTTTCATTGAAATTTTTCCACTGAGTTATTTTTTATACTCAAATCTGAAGTAAACATCAGCAGTAATTTCACAAATTTTCTTCAGCTTTTTATAAGCTTTTGCGCCATGATGTCAATCACTTCTTTTGCTGCGTTCTTTCTTTTAGGCTATAAACTCTTTAACATGTTAAAGAAACAATAAAATCTTTCACTTTTGCAAATTTAATTTTCACTACATAGAAAATGAGACAATTTAATTTAATTAATTACGAGTAGGCGATTAACCAATTCTGAAAAATATTCAAATTTACTCGACAGCTATTTATAACAACATGACTGTTGCTCCATAATTAAGTAAAGAAGAAATTTCTTCAATTAAATGCTTTTCCAATGATATATATATATATCATTGGGAAAAAATATATATATAATGAAATCTCAAAAATTTTCTCATTATACCAAAATATGAAAAAAGTTGACACTCTAAATGAAAAAGAACTGACTGAATGAAATTTGTGGAAGGGGTTTACAGAAGTCACCCGATCACTCCCGGTTGGAGAATTGTATGTATAAATGCTCAATGCAAGTAGGAATGGCAAACTACGTGTGCTAATAAGTTAAATACGTGTAACAATATAGGTATAGTAATAATAGAGGAATATATAATAGTACGCATAATAACAATCATTGTTTAATTCTTTATATTGAATAGTTTGTTCTCAGTTGCTATATTGAATTGTATGAAAATTTATGCGAAATACTTGTGATATTTTTTGCATAATTTTATTTCATTTCGCTTCAATTTTTCCACATTTTCAAATCTTTGCAAAATTAGTCATATGGAAAACTGCATTGCTGCATCTCTTACAATTGGTACCTCTTAAAAGACAAATCTTCCATTATCAATTACAGGCGCAATTCGTCGATTTATAATGAAATTTTACAGGAAATTGAATAAGAATTCATTTTTCTATTAGGCAAGAGTAATATTTTTTGTTTGATATTGCATCCATATATATGTTTTGCTTCAGAAATGAATATTTGTTCATTTTTTGTGATAAAATGCTAAATAAATGACGGAACTTAGTGCTACTCATATGATTCTTTTACAGTATAGCATAATTTTGAATCGCATTATTACACTACAGTGGAGGTTTCTTATCTTTTTTCTGCATTGTAAGTTTCATAAACATTTGTAGCTCATATTGTTTGCATTAAAAAGCAGCTAAATTCTAACGTTAAGACTTAAAATAAGCCAATACTAAAAATAAATACTTCCTTTGCCTTTTTTCTGAATGGTTAAAAATTCAACCTACTTTCGTTATGATATCAAGTTGACTGTTAACCACAGATAGGATTTTCTCATGAGGCAGCTTATGATGAACATCCTTCAGATCTTTTGCATTTATTTAAAAGCTCTGCAAATTCTTGGTCAGATATACTGCCGACGAAAGTCTGAAGTTTTCTGCGCCAGTGATTAGGGAATCAATTACAACTCCTGTTCTGACAGTATTGTTTAAAAATCTTCTGTCCAGTCGAAACTTTTATTGATTTTTGATCAATTATTCAGTCACTCAGCAAAAAAAAATATCAGAACTTAAGATAGTTTTAGTCCAAAAATCTTTATTGCATACAGTAAAGTGGTAGGCCGATCTATTTATGTCATGATTAAAAATTAGCTAATGCTTTATTCATTGATGGATTTATTGTAAGGTTAGATTATCAAATATTTTTATTGAGTGGAATTTTGAATGCAAATAGAACAACTGAAACAGAATTTCGAATGTAAATTAACAAATGAAATGAACGGATAAATTTTCGTTGCGACATGATTCCTATGAAATGATATGTTGCGACTAAGAAGAATCTCTTCTATACCAAAAATTTATTTCCAACAATCGAGTGAGCACCTCAATTTAACAACAGCGATATTAATTTGCAAGTTTTCATGCATAGCATGCAAGGTTACTTGCTTGTTATGTATGTACCGCAAGGAAATTAATTTATTCTAACAAAAAATAAAAAAGTGGAAAAGATATGACACAATATAGATATAAAACAAAAAGGCATGATGAAACAGACAGCGAAAGATACTAATTGATATATAAGAATAGGTGACACAGAATTGACTGATAAAAAATATAAATAATCAACAAAACAGAAACAGTAATGTGTATTTCTTCTATTTAAAGTATAAAGTGCAAGCACTAATGCTTGAGCATGTGCGATTTCAAGCTCATTTTATTCGTGAAACTCTTACTGCATACAGTGCAGTGGTAGACAGGTCTATTCATGTCATGAGTTACCATGTGAGTCTGCAAATCCTGTTTTCGTGAGGAACATTTTCCGCATATCGGACAACTGTACGGCTTCTCACCGGTATGTGTCAACTTATGCATTTTCATATTACCGAACTGAGTGAAATTCTTTTTGCACATCGAACAACTGTAGGGCTTCTCACCGGTATGTGTCAACATATGCATTTTCATATTCCCGAACTGAGTGAAATTCCTTTTGCATATCGAACAACTGTACTGCTTTTTACCGGTATGAATCATCATATGTCTGTTCATATTCCCGAACTGAGTAAAATTCCTTTTGCATATCGAACAACTGTATGGCTTCGTACCGGTATGAGTCATCATATGTTTTTTCATACTCCCATACTGAGTGAAATTCTCTTTGCATATCGAACAACTATACGACTTCTTGATAGTATGCGTCCTCATATGTATTTTCATATTCCCGAACTGAGTGAAATCTTTTTTGCATATCGAACAACTGTACGGCTTCTTACCGGTGTGAATCATCATATGGTTTTTTATGTTTACCACTTCCTTCTGACATACATTACAGCGTTGTTTCTTTCTTGTGCTTTCTTTTTGCTTTGATAATTCCATTACTTCCATCATTGTTTCGATTGGAAGGAGCTGTTCAAGCAGTTTTATTCGTCCATCACTTTCTGTCTCCACTGATAATCCTTGGGATTCGCTCCCTTCCTTTTTTATTTTCGATATTGATAAATCCAACGATTCTGTTTGATCCGTTTGCGCTACCTTAAATTAATATGCAATTATCAATCTAACACTGTGCAAAATTTTAAATCTCCAAGGTATTACAGCGTTATGTAGTTTTTAAGTGGACTTACGGTAGTTTGAATATTGCTCAATTGGAGGAAGAAGAAGAAAAAATAGATCGAATACATGTCAATGATAATAATTTCTGTCCAATTCTAAAAAGTAATCAATTTTACTGGCTGCTGTTTGACAAAAGTGCAAGGGAGAAATTTGTCCAATTAAATGCTTTTTAAAATATATTCCATTATTTACAAATTTATCATCGAACCCCAAAATTCTTCTTATAACTCAAAACTCTAAAAAAAGGTAACATCTTTTATTAAAATAAATGAATGAAAATTGTGGAAAAGAGTTTGACAAAGGCCATCCAATCACTTCTGTTAGATACTGTTGGATGATTGTATCTATAGCATTTGCTTATTCAAATGGGAGTGGTAAACTACGTGTATTGATAAGTTATAACGTCCATGTATAACAATATAGATATACTAATAATAATAGAATATAAAATATTACGCATGTTTAATACAATAGCAATCACTGTTTAATCTTCTACATTGAATAATTTCATTTTAGTTGCTACATACATTGTTGGAAATAATTTATGCAAAACAGTTGTCATTTTTTTTTTACAATTTTATTTTATTTCGCTTCAATTTCTCCACATTTTCAAATCTATGGAATATTAGCGAAGTTGGATAACTACATTGCTACGTCTTTTGTAGTTGGAATGGAGAAAATTGAAGATGTTAAGGAAGAACTTACACAAATGAGAAAGGCTTGTTAAACAAATGTAAGTGAAGTAACCTTCGAGCATATTCCAATCAGATCGAACCGGTTCACAAAGCGGAGGCATCTACGGATTTTTTATTTTTATTAAATTCTAGAGAATTATTTACAATCAGTTTAATTTGATAAATATGCATAAATTATATCTTGTCACCATCCTTGTTTATAAGAAAAAAATTGAAGCCTGTCCTTTCTGTCCTACCTAAGTTTTACGGTTAGGAATTATAAATAGTTCCAGTTCGAGCTTTGTTGTGGTCATAGATACATAATCATAAGTAGTTACATAGCCACAGATGGCGAACCGATACCTTCTAGTTCAATATTTTAAGTGTTGCCAACCATACACTGATTAACAGTTATTGGACGGAACCAGTGTTTTTCATTATTGATTACTGCAAATAAATGATAAAACTTTACCACCTCTTTTTATTCTTTTTCAGTTTCACAATGCTTGGAATTTGAAAGATTAATAAATATTAGAAATCATCATTGGTACTTATTTGACAGCTACTTTCATCATATGATGTTGTGCACAATGACTGTAAGAAAATTTAATAAGCCTAGTTTAGCAAATTTAAAAAATAAGTTAATAATGAAGTGTAAGCAAAAGATTCGAAGGATTTAAATTTTTTTTCTTCTTAAATTTCTGAAATTTTTGAGGTGTAATCTGAAATTTGACTGATAATTTTGTTAATTTAAATTCTGAAAAAAGAAAACAATTATAATTTGCTGAAATTTCATTATTCTAGTGATCAAACAGCAGTTCAAGAACGAGCTACTATGCTAGGCGCAAGCATACTATTTCTAATTGTTGCTGTTCGACCGGAATATGGAATAATGCTGCAGAATACATTGCATTAACTAAAGTGAAACTGTCGATGTTTCTGGAAATTTATAAATTCGTTAATAAAATATTAATTAAATAAATGACAGTACTTAATAGCGAAACTTAGTGCTATTCATTTACGCATACCAGTTATTTTGCATCATATTAATTATTGCACTACATTATTAGCAACTATCAGTCCTTCGTCATCCATTTTCTTTTCTATTTCTTTAGCAATATCAGCTGATCGTAAAGATTGTCGGATCTATGCTTAAAGTAAAGAGCAAAAAAAAGTAGTAAAATTTATTTCGTCTTTTTCATTGAAATTTTTCCACTGAGTTATTTTTTATACTCAAATCTGAAGTAAACATCAGCAGTAATTTCACAAATTTTCTTCAGCTTTTTATAAGCTTTTGCGCCATGATGTCAATCACTTCTTTTGCTGCGTTCTTTCTTTTAGGCTATAAACTCTTTAACATGTTAAAGAAACAATAAAATCTTTCACTTTTGCAAATTTAATTTTCACTACATAGAAAATGAGACAATTTAATTTAATTAATTACGAGTAGGCGATTAACCAATTCTGAAAAATATTCAAATTTACTCGACAGCTATTTATAACAACATGACTGTTGCTCCATAATTAAGTAAAGAAGAAATTTCTTCAATTAAATGCTTTTCCAATGATATATATATATATCATTGGGAAAAAATATATATATAATGAAATCTCAAAAATTTTCTCATTATACCAAAATATGAAAAAAGTTGACACTCTAAATGAAAAAGAACTGACTGAATGAAATTTGTGGAAGGGGTTTACAGAAGTCACCCGATCACTCCCGGTTGGAGAATTGTATGTATAAATGCTCAATGCAAGTAGGAATGGCAAACTACGTGTGCTAATAAGTTAAATACGTGTAACAATATAGGTATAGTAATAATAGAGGAATATATAATAGTACGCATAATAACAATCATTGTTTAATTCTTTATATTGAATAGTTTGTTCTCAGTTGCTATATTGAATTGTATGAAAATTTATGCGAAATACTTGTGATATTTTTTGCATAATTTTATTTCATTTCGCTTCAATTTTTCCACATTTTCAAATCTTTGCAAAATTAGTCATATGGAAAACTGCATTGCTGCATCTCTTACAATTGGTACCTCTTAAAAGACAAATCTTCCATTATCAATTACAGGCGCAATTCGTCGATTTATAATGAAATTTTACAGGAAATTGAATAAGAATTCATTTTTCTATTAGGCAAGAGTAATATTTTTTGTTTGATATTGCATCCATATATATGTTTTGCTTCAGAAATGAATATTTGTTCATTTTTTGTGATAAAATGCTAAATAAATGACGGAACTTAGTGCTACTCATATGATTCTTTTACAGTATAGCATAATTTTGAATCGCATTATTACACTACAGTGGAGGTTTCTTATCTTTTTTCTGCATTGTAAGTTTCATAAACATTTGTAGCTCATATTGTTTGCATTAAAAAGCAGCTAAATTCTAACGTTAAGACTTAAAATAAGCCAATACTAAAAATAAATACTTCCTTTGCCTTTTTTCTGAATGGTTAAAAATTCAACCTACTTTCGTTATGATATCAAGTTGACTGTTAACCACAGATAGGATTTTCTCATGAGGCAGCTTATGATGAACATCCTTCAGATCTTTTGCATTTATTTAAAAGCTCTGCAAATTCTTGGTCAGATATACTGCCGACGAAAGTCTGAAGTTTTCTGCGCCAGTGATTAGGGAATCAATTACAACTCCTGTTCTGACAGTATTGTTTAAAAATCTTCTGTCCAGTCGAAACTTTTATTGATTTTTGATCAATTATTCAGTCACTCAGCAAAAAAAAATATCAGAACTTAAGATAGTTTTAGTCCAAAAATCTTTATTGCATACAGTAAAGTGGTAGGCCGATCTATTTATGTCATGATTAAAAATTAGCTAATGCTTTATTCATTGATGGATTTATTGTAAGGTTAGATTATCAAATATTTTTATTGAGTGGAATTTTGAATGCAAATAGAACAACTGAAACAGAATTTCGAATGTAAATTAACAAATGAAATGAACGGATAAATTTTCGTTGCGACATGATTCCTATGAAATGATATGTTGCGACTAAGAAGAATCTCTTCTATACCAAAAATTTATTTCCAACAATCGAGTGAGCACCTCAATTTAACAACAGCGATATTAATTTGCAAGTTTTCATGCATAGCATGCAAGGTTACTTGCTTGTTATGTATGTACCGCAAGGAAATTAATTTATTCTAACAAAAAATAAAAAAGTGGAAAAGATATGACACAATATAGATATAAAACAAAAAGGCATGATGAAACAGACAGCGAAAGATACTAATTGATATATAAGAATAGGTGACACAGAATTGACTGATAAAAAATATAAATAATCAACAAAACAGAAACAGTAATGTGTATTTCTTCTATTTAAAGTATAAAGTGCAAGCACTAATGCTTGAGCATGTGCGATTTCAAGCTCATTTTATTCGTGAAACTCTTACTGCATACAGTGCAGTGGTAGACAGGTCTATTCATGTCATGAGTTACCATGTGAGTCTGCAAATCCTGTTTTCGTGAGGAACATTTTCCGCATATCGGACAACTGTACGGCTTCTCACCGGTATGTGTCAACTTATGCATTTTCATATTACCGAACTGAGTGAAATTCTTTTTGCACATCGAACAACTGTAGGGCTTCTCACCGGTATGTGTCAACATATGCATTTTCATATTCCCGAACTGAGTGAAATTCCTTTTGCATATCGAACAACTGTACTGCTTTTTACCGGTATGAATCATCATATGTCTGTTCATATTCCCGAACTGAGTAAAATTCCTTTTGCATATCGAACAACTGTATGGCTTCGTACCGGTATGAGTCATCATATGTTTTTTCATACTCCCATACTGAGTGAAATTCTCTTTGCATATCGAACAACTATACGACTTCTTGATAGTATGCGTCCTCATATGTATTTTCATATTCCCGAACTGAGTGAAATCTTTTTTGCATATCGAACAACTGTACGGCTTCTTACCGGTGTGAATCATCATATGGTTTTTTATGTTTACCACTTCCTTCTGACATACATTACAGCGTTGTTTCTTTCTTGTGCTTTCTTTTTGCTTTGATAATTCCATTACTTCCATCATTGTTTCGATTGGAAGGAGCTGTTCAAGCAGTTTTATTCGTCCATCACTTTCTGTCTCCACTGATAATCCTTGGGATTCGCTCCCTTCCTTTTTTATTTTCGATATTGATAAATCCAACGATTCTGTTTGATCCGTTTGCGCTACCTTAAATTAATATGCAATTATCAATCTAACACTGTGCAAAATTTTAAATCTCCAAGGTATTACAGCGTTATGTAGTTTTTAAGTGGACTTACGGTAGTTTGAATATTGCTCAATTGGAGGAAGAAGAAGAAAAAATAGATCGAATACATGTCAATGATAATAATTTCTGTCCAATTCTAAAAAGTAATCAATTTTACTGGCTGCTGTTTGACAAAAGTGCAAGGGAGAAATTTGTCCAATTAAATGCTTTTTAAAATATATTCCATTATTTACAAATTTATCATCGAACCCCAAAATTCTTCTTATAACTCAAAACTCTAAAAAAAGGTAACATCTTTTATTAAAATAAATGAATGAAAATTGTGGAAAAGAGTTTGACAAAGGCCATCCAATCACTTCTGTTAGATACTGTTGGATGATTGTATCTATAGCATTTGCTTATTCAAATGGGAGTGGTAAACTACGTGTATTGATAAGTTATAACGTCCATGTATAACAATATAGATATACTAATAATAATAGAATATAAAATATTACGCATGTTTAATACAATAGCAATCACTGTTTAATCTTCTACATTGAATAATTTCATTTTAGTTGCTACATACATTGTTGGAAATAATTTATGCAAAACAGTTGTCATTTTTTTTTTACAATTTTATTTTATTTCGCTTCAATTTCTCCACATTTTCAAATCTATGGAATATTAGCGAAGTTGGATAACTACATTGCTACGTCTTTTGTAGTTGGAATGGAGAAAATTGAAGATGTTAAGGAAGAACTTACACAAATGAGAAAGGCTTGTTAAACAAATGTAAGTGAAGTAACCTTCGAGCACATTCCAATCAGATCGAACCGGTTCACAAAGCGGAGGCATCTACGGATTTTTTATTTTTATTAAATTCTAGAGAATTATTTACAATCAGTTTAATTTGATAAATATGCATAAATTATATCTTGTCACCATCCTTGTTTATAAGAAAAAAATTGAAGCCTGTCCTTTCTGTCCTACCTAAGTTTTACGGTTAGGAATTATAAATAGTTCCAGTTCGAGCTTTGTTGTGGTCATAGATACATAATCATAAGTAGTTACATAGCCACAGATGGCGAACCGATACCTTCTAGTTCAATATTTTAAGTGTTGCCAACCATACACTGATTAACAGTTATTGGACGGAACCAGTGTTTTTCATTATTGATTACTGCAAATAAATGATAAAACTTTACCACCTCTTTTTATTCTTTTTCAGTTTCACAATGCTTGGAATTTGAAAGATTAATAAATATTAGAAATCATCATTGGTACTTATTTGACAGCTACTTTCATCATATGATGTTGTGCACAATGACTGTAAGAAAATTTAATAAGCCTAGTTTAGCAAATTTAAAAAATAAGTTAATAATGAAGTGTAAGCAAAAGATTCGGAGGATTTGTTGAAATCAATATTATCAACTACAAAAGACGCAGCAATGTAGTTATCCAGCTTCGCTAATATTCCATAGATTTGAAAATGTGGAGTAATTGAAGCGAAATAAAATAAAATTGTAAAAAAAAAATGACAACTGTTTTGCATAAATTATTTCCAACAATGTATGTAGCAACTAAAATGAAATTATTCAATGTAGAAGATTAAACAGTGATTGCTATTGTATTAAACATGCGTAATATTTTATATTCTATTATTATTAGTATATCTATATTGTTATACATGGACGTTATAACTTATCAATACACGTAGTTTACCACTCCCATTTGAATAAGCAAATGCTATAGATACAATCATCCAACAGTATCTAACAGAAGTGATTGGATGGCCTTTGTCAAACTCTTTTCCACAATTTTCATTCATTTATTTTAATAAAAGATGTTACCTTTTTTTAGAGTTTTGAGTTATAAGAAGAATTTTGGGGTTCGATGATAAATTTGTAAATAATGGAATATATTTTAAAAAGCATTTAATTGGACAAATTTCTCCCTTGCACTTTTGTCAAACAGCAGCCAGTAAAATTGATTACTTTTTAGAATTGGACAGAAATTATTATCATTGACATGTATTCGATCTATTTTTTCTTCTTCTTCCTCCAATTGAGCAATATTCAAACTACCGTAAGTCCACTTAAAAACTACATAACGCTGTAATACCTTGGAGATTTAAAATTTTGCACAGTGTTAGTTTGATAATTGCATATTAATTTAAGGTAGCGCAAACGGATCAAACAGAATTGTTGGATTTATCAATATCGAAAATAAAAAAGGAAGGGAGCGAATCCCAAGGATTATCAGTGGAGACAGAAAGTGATGGACGAATAAAACTGCTTGAACGGCTCCTTCCAATCGAAACACTCATGGAAGTAATGGAATTATCAAAGCAAAAAGAAAGCACAAGAAAGAAACAACGCTGTAATGTATGTCAGAAGGAAGTGGTAAACATAAAAGACCATATGATGATTCACACCGGTAAGAAGCCGTACAGTTGTTCGATATGCAAAAAAGATTTCACTCAGTTCGGGAATATGAAAATACATATGAGGACGCATACTATCAAGAAGTCGTATAGTTGTTCGATATGCAAAGAGAATTTCACTCAGTATGGGAGTATGAAAAAACATATGATGACTCATACCGGTACGAAGCCATACAGTTGTTCGATATGCAAAAGGAATTTTACTCAGTTCGGGAATATGAACAGACATATGATGATTCATACCGGTAAAAAGCAGTACAGTTGTTCGATATGCAAAAGGAATTTCACTCAGTTCGGGAATATGAAAATGCATATGTTGACACATACCGGTGAGAAGCCCTACAGTTGTTCGATGTGCAAAAAGAATTTCACTCAGTTCGGTAATATGAAAATGCATAAGTTGACACATACCGGTGAGAAGCCGTACAGTTGTCCGATATGCAAAAAAAATTTTATTCAGTTTGTACATATGAAAGAACATATGATGACTCATACCGGTGAGAAGCCGTACAGTTGTCCGATATGCAAAAAAAATTTTATTCAGCCTGTACATATGAAAGAACATATGATGACTCATACCGGTGAGAAGCCGTACAGTTGTCCGATATGCGGAAAATGTTCCTCACGAAAACAGGATTTGCAGACTCACATGGTAACTCATGACATGAATAGACCTGTCTACCACTGCACTGTATGCAGTAAGAGTTTCACGAATAAAATGAGCTTGAAATCGCACATGCTCAAGCATTAGTGCTTGCACTTTATACTTTAAATAGAAGAAATACACATTACTGTTTCTGTTTTGTTGATTATTTATATTTTTTATCAGTCAATTCTGTGTCACCTATTCTTATATATCAATTAGTATCTTTCGCTGTCTGTTTCATCATGCCTTTTTGTTTTATATCTATATTGTGTCATATCTTTTCCACTTTTTTATTTTTTGTTAGAATAAATTAATTTCCTTGCGGTACATACATAACAAGCAAGTAACCTTGCATGCTATGCATGAAAACTTGCAAATTAATATCGCTGTTGTTAAATTGAGGTGCTCACTCGATTGTTGGAAATAAATTTTTGGTATAGAAGAGATTCTTCTTAGTCGCAACATATCATTTCATAGGAATCATGTCGCAACGAAAATTTATCCGTTCATTTCATTTGTTAATTTACATTCGAAATTCTGTTTCAGTTGTTCTATTTGCATTCAAAATTCCACTCAATAAAAATATTTGATAATCTAACCTTACAATAAATCCATCAATGAATAAAGCATTAGCTAATTTTTAATCATGACATAAATAGATCGGCCTACCACTTTACTGTATGCAATAAAGATTTTTGGACTAAAACTATCTTAAGTTCTGATATTTTTTTTTGCTGAGTGACTGAATAATTGATCAAAAATCAATAAAAGTTTCGACTGGACAGAAGATTTTTAAACAATACTGTCAGAACAGGAGTTGTAATTGATTCCCTAATCACTGGCGCAGAAAACTTCAGACTTTCGTCGGCAGTATATCTGACCAAGAATTTGCAGAGCTTTTAAATAAATGCAAAAGATCTGAAGGATGTTCATCATAAGCTGCCTCATGAGAAAATCCTATCTGTGGTTAACAGTCAACTTGATATCATAACGAAAGTAGGTTGAATTTTTAACCATTCAGAAAAAAGGCAAAGGAAGTATTTATTTTTAGTATTGGCTTATTTTAAGTCTTAACGTTAGAATTTAGCTGCTTTTTAATGCAAACAATATGAGCTACAAATGTTTATGAAACTTACAATGCAGAAAAAAGATAAGAAACCTCCACTGTAGTGTAATAATGCGATTCAAAATTATGCTATACTGTAAAAGAATCATATGAGTAGCACTAAGTTCCGTCATTTATTTAGCATTTTATCACAAAAAATGAACAAATATTCATTTCTGAAGCAAAACATATATATGGATGCAATATCAAACAAAAAATATTACTCTTGCCTAATAGAAAAATGAATTCTTATTCAATTTCCTGTAAAATTTCATTATAAATCGACGAATTGCGCCTGTAATTGATAATGGAAGATTTGTCTTTTAAGAGGTACCAATTGTAAGAGATGCAGCAATGCAGTTTTCCATATGACTAATTTTGCAAAGATTTGAAAATGTGGAAAAATTGAAGCGAAATGAAATAAAATTATGCAAAAAATATCACAAGTATTTCGCATAAATTTTCATACAATTCAATATAGCAACTGAGAACAAACTATTCAATATAAAGAATTAAACAATGATTGTTATTATGCGTACTATTATATATTCCTCTATTATTACTATACCTATATTGTTACACGTATTTAACTTATTAGCACACGTAGTTTGCCATTCCTACTTGCATTGAGCATTTATACATACAATTCTCCAACCGGGAGTGATCGGGTGACTTCTGTAAACCCCTTCCACAAATTTCATTCAGTCAGTTCTTTTTCATTTAGAGTGTCAACTTTTTTCATATTTTGGTATAATGAGAAAATTTTTGAGATTTCATTATATATATATTTTTTCCCAATGATATATATATATATCATTGGAAAAGCATTTAATTGAAGAAATTTCTTCTTTACTTAATTATGGAGCAACAGTCATGTTGTTATAAATAGCTGTCGAGTAAATTTGAATATTTTTCAGAATTGGTTAATCGCCTACTCGTAATTAATTAAATTAAATTGTCTCATTTTCTATGTAGTGAAAATTAAATTTGCAAAAGTGAAAGATTTTATTGTTTCTTTAACATGTTAAAGAGTTTATAGCCTAAAAGAAAGAACGCAGCAAAAGAAGTGATTGACATCATGGCGCAAAAGCTTATAAAAAGCTGAAGAAAATTTGTGAAATTACTGCTGATGTTTACTTCAGATTTGAGTATAAAAAATAACTCAGTGGAAAAATTTCAATGAAAAAGACGAAATAAATTTTACTACTTTTTTTTGCTCTTTACTTTAAGCATAGATCCGACAATCTTTACGATCAGCTGATATTGCTAAAGAAATAGAAAAGAAAATGGATGACGAAGGACTGATAGTTGCTAATAATGTAGTGCAATAATTAATATGATGCAAAATAACTGGTATGCGTAAATGAATAGCACTAAGTTTCGCTATTAAGTACTGTCATTTATTTAATTAATATTTTATTAACGAATTTATAAATTTCCAGAAACATCGACAGTTTCACTTTAGTTAATGCAATGTATTCTGCAGCATTATTCCATATTCCGGTCGAACAGCAACAATTAGAAATAGTATGCTTGCGCCTAGCATAGTAGCTCGTTCTTGAACTGCTGTTTGATCACTAGAATAATGAAATTTCAGCAAATTATAATTGTTTTCTTTTTTCAGAATTTAAATTAACAAAATTATCAGTCAAATTTCAGATTACACCTCAAAAATTTCAGAAATTTAAGAAGAAAAAAAATTTAAATCCTTCGAATCTTTTGCTTACACTTCATTATTAACTTATTTTTTAAATTTGCTAAACTAGGCTTATTAAATTTTCTTACAGTCATTGTGCACAACATCATATGATGAAAGTAGCTGTCAAATAAGTACCAATGATGATTTCTAATATTTATTAATCTTTCAAATTCCAAGCATTGTGAAACTGAAAAAGAATAAAAAGAGGTGGTAAAGTTTTATCATTTATTTGCAGTAATCAATAATGAAAAACACTGGTTCCGTCCAATAACTGTTAATCAGTGTATGGTTGGCAACACTTAAAATATTGAACTAGAAGGTATCGGTTCGCCATCTGTGGCTATGTAACTACTTATGATTATGTATCTATGACCACAACAAAGCTCGAACTGGAACTATTTATAATTCCTAACCGTAAAACTTAGGTAGGACAGAAAGGACAGGCTTCAATTTTTTTCCTATAAACAAGGATGGTGACAAGATATAATTTATGCATATTTATCAAATTAAACTGATTGTAAATAATTCTCTAGAATTTAATAAAAATAAAAAATCCGTAGATGCCTCCGCTTTGTGAACCGGTTCGATCTGATTGGAATATGCTCGAAGGTTACTTCACTTACATTTGTTTAACAAGCCTTTCTCATTTGTGTAAGTTCTTCCTTAACATCTTCAATTTTCTCCATTCCAACTACAAAAGACGTAGCAATGTAGTTATCCAACTTCGCTAATATTCCATAGATTTGAAAATGTGGAGAAATTGAAGCGAAATAAAATAAAATTGTAAAAAAAAAATGACAACTGTTTTGCATAAATTATTTCCAACAATGTATGTAGCAACTAAAATGAAATTATTCAATGTAGAAGATTAAACAGTGATTGCTATTGTATTAAACATGCGTAATATTTTATATTCTATTATTATTAGTATATCTATATTGTTATACATGGACGTTATAACTTATCAATACACGTAGTTTACCACTCCCATTTGAATAAGCAAATGCTATAGATACAATCATCCAACAGTATCTAACAGAAGTGATTGGATGGCCTTTGTCAAACTCTTTTCCACAATTTTCATTCATTTATTTTAATAAAAGATGTTACCTTTTTTTAGAGTTTTGAGTTATAAGAAGAATTTTGGGGTTCGATGATAAATTTGTAAATAATGGAATATATTTTAAAAAGCATTTAATTGGACAAATTTCTCCCTTGCACTTTTGTCAAACAGCAGCCAGTAAAATTGATTACTTTTTAGAATTGGACAGAAATTATTATCATTGACATGTATTCGATCTATTTTTTCTTCTTCTTCCTCCAATTGAGCAATATTCAAACTACCGTAAGTCCACTTAAAAACTACATAACGCTGTAATACCTTGGAGATTTAAAATTTTGCACAGTGTTAGATTGATAATTGCATATTAATTTAAGGTAGCGCAAACGGATCAAACAGAATCGTTGGATTTATCAATATCGAAAATAAAAAAGGAAGGGAGCGAATCCCAAGGATTATCAGTGGAGACAGAAAGTGATGGACGAATAAAACTGCTTGAACAGCTCCTTCCAATCGAAACAATGATGGAAGTAATGGAATTATCAAAGCAAAAAGAAAGCACAAGAAAGAAACAACGCTGTAATGTATGTCAGAAGGAAGTGGTAAACATAAAAAACCATATGATGATTCACACCGGTAAGAAGCCGTACAGTTGTTCGATATGCAAAAAAGATTTCACTCAGTTCGGGAATATGAAAATACATATGAGGACGCATACTATCAAGAAGTCGTATAGTTGTTCGATATGCAAAGAGAATTTCACTCAGTATGGGAGTATGAAAAAACATATGATGACTCATACCGGTACGAAGCCATACAGTTGTTCGATATGCAAAAGGAATTTTACTCAGTTCGGGAATATGAACAGACATATGATGATTCATACCGGTAAAAAGCAGTACAGTTGTTCGATATGCAAAAGGAATTTCACTCAGTTCGGGAATATGAAAATGCATATGTTGACACATACCGGTGAGAAGCCCTACAGTTGTTCGATGTGCAAAAAGAATTTCACTCAGTTCGGTAATATGAAAATGCATAAGTTGACACATACCGGTGAGAAGCCGTACAGTTGTCCGATATGCGGAAAATGTTCCTCACGAAAACAGGATTTGCAGACTCACATGGTAACTCATGACATGAATAGACCTGTCTACCACTGCACTGTATGCAGTAAGAGTTTCACGAATAAAATGAGCTTGAAATCGCACATGCTCAAGCATTAGTGCTTGCACTTTATACTTTAAATAGAAGAAATACACATTACTGTTTCTGTTTTGTTGATTATTTATATTTTTTATCAGTCAATTCTGTGTCACCTATTCTTATATATCAATTAGTATCTTTCGCTGTCTGTTTCATCATGCCTTTTTGTTTTATATCTATATTGTGTCATATCTTTTCCACTTTTTTATTTTTTGTTAGAATAAATTAATTTCCTTGCGGTACATACATAACAAGCAAGTAACCTTGCATGCTATGCATGAAAACTTGCAAATTAATATCGCTGTTGTTAAATTGAGGTGCTCACTCGATTGTTGGAAATAAATTTTTGGTATAGAAGAGATTCTTCTTAGTCGCAACATATCATTTCATAGGAATCATGTCGCAACGAAAATTTATCCGTTCATTTCATTTGTTAATTTACATTCGAAATTCTGTTTCAGTTGTTCTATTTGCATTCAAAATTCCACTCAATAAAAATATTTGATAATCTAACCTTACAATAAATCCATCAATGAATAAAGCATTAGCTAATTTTTAATCATGACATAAATAGATCGGCCTACCACTTTACTGTATGCAATAAAGATTTTTGGACTAAAACTATCTTAAGTTCTGATATTTTTTTTTGCTGAGTGACTGAATAATTGATCAAAAATCAATAAAAGTTTCGACTGGACAGAAGATTTTTAAACAATACTGTCAGAACAGGAGTTGTAATTGATTCCCTAATCACTGGCGCAGAAAACTTCAGACTTTCGTCGGCAGTATATCTGACCAAGAATTTGCAGAGCTTTTAAATAAATGCAAAAGATCTGAAGGATGTTCATCATAAGCTGCCTCATGAGAAAATCCTATCTGTGGTTAACAGTCAACTTGATATCATAACGAAAGTAGGTTGAATTTTTAACCATTCAGAAAAAAGGCAAAGGAAGTATTTATTTTTAGTATTGGCTTATTTTAAGTCTTAACGTTAGAATTTAGCTGCTTTTTAATGCAAACAATATGAGCTACAAATGTTTATGAAACTTACAATGCAGAAAAAAGATAAGAAACCTCCACTGTAGTGTAATAATGCGATTCAAAATTATGCTATACTGTAAAAGAATCATATGAGTAGCACTAAGTTCCGTCATTTATTTAGCATTTTATCACAAAAAATGAACAAATATTCATTTCTGAAGCAAAACATATATATGGATGCAATATCAAACAAAAAATATTACTCTTGCCTAATAGAAAAATGAATTCTTATTCAATTTCCTGTAAAATTTCATTATAAATCGACGAATTGCGCCTGTAATTGATAATGGAAGATTTGTCTTTTAAGAGGTACCAATTGTAAGAGATGCAGCAATGCAGTTTTCCATATGACTAATTTTGCAAAGATTTGAAAATGTGGAAAAATTGAAGCGAAATGAAATAAAATTATGCAAAAAATATCACAAGTATTTCGCATAAATTTTCATACAATTCAATATAGCAACTGAGAACAAACTATTCAATATAAAGAATTAAACAATGATTGTTATTATGCGTACTATTATATATTCCTCTATTATTACTATACCTATATTGTTACACGTATTTAACTTATTAGCACACGTAGTTTGCCATTCCTACTTGCATTGAGCATTTATACATACAATTCTCCAACCGGGAGTGATCGGGTGACTTCTGTAAACCCCTTCCACAAATTTCATTCAGTCAGTTCTTTTTCATTTAGAGTGTCAACTTTTTTCATATTTTGGTATAATGAGAAAATTTTTGAGATTTCATTATATATATATTTTTTCCCAATGATATATATATATATCATTGGAAAAGCATTTAATTGAAGAAATTTCTTCTTTACTTAATTATGGAGCAACAGTCATGTTGTTATAAATAGCTGTCGAGTAAATTTGAATATTTTTCAGAATTGGTTAATCGCCTACTCGTAATTAATTAAATTAAATTGTCTCATTTTCTATGTAGTGAAAATTAAATTTGCAAAAGTGAAAGATTTTATTGTTTCTTTAACATGTTAAAGAGTTTATAGCCTAAAAGAAAGAACGCAGCAAAAGAAGTGATTGACATCATGGCGCAAAAGCTTATAAAAAGCTGAAGAAAATTTGTGAAATTACTGCTGATGTTTACTTCAGATTTGAGTATAAAAAATAACTCAGTGGAAAAATTTCAATGAAAAAGACGAAATAAATTTTACTACTTTTTTTTGCTCTTTACTTTAAGCATAGATCCGACAATCTTTACGATCAGCTGATATTGCTAAAGAAATAGAAAAGAAAATGGATGACGAAGGACTGATAGTTGCTAATAATGTAGTGCAATAATTAATATGATGCAAAATAACTGGTATGCGTAAATGAATAGCACTAAGTTTCGCTATTAAGTACTGTCATTTATTTAATTAATATTTTATTAACGAATTTATAAATTTCCAGAAACATCGACAGTTTCACTTTAGTTAATGCAATGTATTCTGCAGCATTATTCCATATTCCGGTCGAACAGCAACAATTAGAAATAGTATGCTTGCGCCTAGCATAGTAGCTCGTTCTTGAACTGCTGTTTGATCACTAGAATAATGAAATTTCAGCAAATTATAATTGTTTTCTTTTTTCAGAATTTAAATTAACAAAATTATCAGTCAAATTTCAGATTACACCTCAAAAATTTCAGAAATTTAAGAAGAAAAAAAATTTAAATCCTTCGAATCTTTTGCTTACACTTCATTATTAACTTATTTTTTAAATTTGCTAAACTAGGCTTATTAAATTTTCTTACAGTCATTGTGCACAACATCATATGATGAAAGTAGCTGTCAAATAAGTACCAATGATGATTTCTAATATTTATTAATCTTTCAAATTCCAAGCATTGTGAAACTGAAAAAGAATAAAAAGAGGTGGTAAAGTTTTATCATTTATTTGCAGTAATCAATAATGAAAAACACTGGTTCCGTCCAATAACTGTTAATCAGTGTATGGTTGGCAACACTTAAAATATTGAACTAGAAGGTATCGGTTCGCCATCTGTGGCTATGTAACTACTTATGATTATGTATCTATGACCACAACAAAGCTCGAACTGGAACTATTTATAATTCCTAACCGTAAAACTTAGGTAGGACAGAAAGGACAGGCTTCAATTTTTTTCTTATAAACAAGGATGGTGACAAGATATAATTTATGCATATTTATCAAATTAAACTGATTGTAAATAATTCTCTAGAATTTAATAAAAATAAAAAATCCGTAGATGCCTCCGCTTTGTGAACCGGTTCGATCTGATTGGAATATGCTCGAAGGTTACTTCACTTACATTTGTTTAACAAGCCTTTCTCATTTGTGTAAGTTCTTCCTTAACATCTTCAATTTTCTCCATTCCAACTACAAAAGACGTAGCAATGTAGTTATCCAACTTCGCTAATATTCCATAGATTTGAAAATGTGGAGAAATTGAAGCGAAATAAAATAAAATTGTAAAAAAAAAATGACAACTGTTTTGCATAAATTATTTCCAACAATGTATGTAGCAACTAAAATGAAATTATTCAATGTAGAAGATTAAACAGTGATTGCTATTGTATTAAACATGCGTAATATTTTATATTCTATTATTATTAGTATATCTATATTGTTATACATGGACGTTATAACTTATCAATACACGTAGTTTACCACTCCCATTTGAATAAGCAAATGCTATAGATACAATCATCCAACAGTATCTAACAGAAGTGATTGGATGGCCTTTGTCAAACTCTTTTCCACAATTTTCATTCATTTATTTTAATAAAAGATGTTACCTTTTTTTAGAGTTTTGAGTTATAAGAAGAATTTTGGGGTTCGATGATAAATTTGTAAATAATGGAATATATTTTAAAAAGCATTTAATTGGACAAATTTCTCCCTTGCACTTTTGTCAAACAGCAGCCAGTAAAATTGATTACTTTTTAGAATTGGACAGAAATTATTATCATTGACATGTATTCGATCTATTTTTTCTTCTTCTTCCTCCAATTGAGCAATATTCAAACTACCGTAAGTCCACTTAAAAACTACATAACGCTGTAATACCTTGGAGATTTAAAATTTTGCACAGTGTTAGATTGATAATTGCATATTAATTTAAGGTAGCGCAAACGGATCAAACAGAATCGTTGGATTTATCAATATCGAAAATAAAAAAGGAAGGGAGCGAATCCCAAGGATTATCAGTGGAGACAGAAAGTGATGGACGAATAAAACTGCTTGAACGGCTCCTTCCAATCGAAACAATGATGGAAGTAATGGAATTATCAAAGCAAAAAGAAAGCACAAGAAAGAAACAACGCTGTAATGTATGTCAGAAGGAAATGATAAAAGACCATATGATGACTCATACCTGTAAGAAGCCGTACAGTTGTTCGATATGCAAAAGGGATTTCGCTGAGTTCGGGAATATGAAAAAACATATGATGATTCATACCGGTGAGAAACCGTACAGTTGTTCGATATGTAAAAAAAATTTCACTCAGTTCGGGAATATGAAAAGACATATGATGACACATACTAGCGAGAAGTCGTATAGTTGTTCGATATGCAAAGAGAATTTCACTCAGTATGGGGATATGAAAATGCATATGTTGATTCATACCGGTAAGAAGCCATACAGTTGTTCGATATGCAAAAGGAATTTTACTCAGTTCTGGAATATAAAAACTCATATGTTGACACATACCGGTGAGAAGCCGTACAGTTGTTCGGTATGTAAAAAAAATTTCACTCAGTCCAATAATATGAAAAGACATATAATGACTCATACTGGTGAAAAGCCGTATAGTTGCTCAATATGCAGAAAGAATTTTAGTCTCTCTGCGCATGTGAAAGAACATATGATGATCCATACCGGTGAAAAGCCGTGCAGTTGTCCGATATGCGGGAAAAGTTTTTTAAAAAAGTGCAATTTGCAGACTCACATTGCGACTCATGACATGAATAGACCTATGTACCGTTGTACGGTATGCAGTAAGGGTTTCAGAAGTAAACTCGGCTTGAAATTGCACATGCAGAACCATTAAAGCTTACGCTTTGTGTTTCACTTTAAAAGAAGAAATGCACACTCATTGCTATTTCTGTTGTTGTTAATTATTTATATCTTATTAGTCAATATATTTCTTTAAATCTATCTCTTATGTTCTCGTTGTTGCGATATCATTAATTGCACCTATCACGAAATCACAACGTGACATATATTTCATCTCTTCTAATCTTTTCACAAATTCATTACTTTATTTATTCCAACTTCTATGATTTATTTCTTTGTATGATGCAGTTGTGAGTGCCAAAATTGGTTAATCGCCTACTCGTAATTAATTAAATTAAATTGTCCCATTTTCTATGTGGTGAAAATTAAATTTGCAAAAGTGAAAGATTTTATTGTTTCTTTAACATGTTAAAGAGTTTATAGCCTAAAAGAAAGAACGCAGCAAAAGAAGTGATTGACATCATGGCGCAAAAGCTTATAAAAAGCTGAAGAAAATTTGTGAAATTACTGGTGATGTTTACTTCAGATTTGAGTATAAAAAATAACTCAGTGGAAAAATTTCAATGAAAAAGACGAAATAAATTTTACTACTTTTTTTTGCTCTTTACTTTAAGCATAGATCCGACAATCTTTACGATCAGCTGATATTGCTAAAGAAATAGAAAAGAAAATGGATGACGAAGGACTGATAGTTGCTAATAATGTAGTGCAATAATTAATATGATGCAAAATAACTGGTATGCGTAAATGAATAGCACTAAGTTTCGCTATTAAGTACTGTCATTTATTTAATTAATATTTTATTAACGAATTTATAAATTTCCAGAAACATCGACAGTTTCACTTTAGTTAATGCAATGTATTCTGCAGCATTATTCCATATTCCGGTCGAACAGCAACAATTAGAAATAGTATGCTTGCGCCTAGCATAGTAGCTCGTTCTTGAACTGCTGTTTGATCACTAGAATAATGAAATTTCAGCAAATTATAATTGTTTTCTTTTTTCAGAATTTAAATTAATAAAATTATCACTCAAATTTCAGATTACATCTCGAAAATTTCAGAAATTTAAGAAGTAAAAATAAATTTAATCTGCCAAATTCTATATTTGACATGAATTGATGTGGAAATATAAGGCTGATTGCTCTTCGCATTGATCGTTTCATGTTTAACTTTTATAAATCAGAAAATCACAAAAGAATATCCGTCATCCACATAGTGCTAATGTTATTTAGTAGTTTGTCACAGAAAATGAATAAATATTCATTTTTGAATATTTATTTATTATTTTTTCCAATTCTAAAGATAAATATATATTTAAATAACAGTAAACGAAAAGTATCACTTCTGCTTAATAAAAAAAAATGAATTCTTATTCAATTTCCTGCAAAATTTCATTATATAGTATACAAATTTAACCTGTAATTAATAATGAGAGATTTGGCTGTTGAGAAGTACGACGGCCTCAGAAAACCAATCTTTTCATTGCTTAAATTGAAAAATTCCAGTGCTTGATCAGCATTAATGAGGTAGAAATATCGCAATATACTACTAAATGATCCAAAAATCTGGAATAAAAACTGAAGTGTTTGTACATTTTCTTGTAATTAAAAAAAAAAGAAAAATTATATCATTAAGATTATGCAGGTACACAGTTTGTTTACTTGTATATACCTTATAAATTTAGTCCAATTTAATTTATCCGCATGACATTTTTCTTAAGGTCAGTCAACACTCTATGTAAAAATATTTAATGCGACAGGCGTTTCATCATTTAATCAATTGAAATAAAAACAAATATTTACATCTAATTTTTGATACAAATTAATACTAAATGTTATATCCAGATTTATCCAGTTTATTGAAGAAAAAAATCCACAAATTTTAACGAATTGATTATCGATCATGCAATATTGAAATGATTAATTAATTATTACTCAATGAATGAATACTTCTCTGAACAATCGATATTATTATCATTGACTACTATTGTCTTTCAATGTATTCAATACTTCATTTTAATTCAGAAAATTGAGTGATAGAAAAAATAGCGAATTTTTTATCAGTTATGAAAGACTAAAATCATTTACTTGTGTAACTGGTGTATTAACAACATTCAGAAATGGTTCACCAAATTTTGAAATCACATATCTTTGACTAAATGATTGACATTTTACTTGTTCAACCTAAACAAAAAATATACATATTGTAGTCTTTACACACACAATTTGCATGTTGTAAAGCAAGAAATATTCATTAATCCTTTCTTTTTTTTTTTCCTTCAAGTAAAAATTGAAAAAAAAATTTTTTTTTAATGTCTCACATTCAGAATTCATTTTAGGGGCTTCATTTTTTTGCACAGATTTTTTTGGACGTTAAATTATTAACATTGTTAATTTGAATAAATCAAAATGCAAGATATGTACATACCTTATACAATGTTGATCCAGCAGGATGTAAAATTTTACCCATGGAATTTTGAGAATTATCCGGAAGTCTTATTTCCATTACTGTATTGCCTTGTAATGTTTTCACTACAACTCCTTGCGCAGCGATCATTTCACAGTTATAAACAATTTGACGATTACCTTTTTTGGCTTTAACGACAAGATGAACCGGTGTGAAACGGGATGCGGAAGGCTTTAACCTGGAAAAGAAAGCTTCTGCTGATATCTTTCTTTTCTATACTTAATTTCGAAGAAATAAAAAAAAATATAACCGTCATATAATTTTTCATAATTACAATTTTGATTCTCTGTATTATAACAAACAAGAAACTATGGAACTGAAATTAACTTTAGATTATTTGTTATAGATGAACGATTAAATAATTTAATTAATTTAAGTTATTCAAATATGTATAAATGATAGCAGTATAATCAAAAATGCTAATTCTTATTCAAATTTTTATATTTTTGAAGCTAACAAATCTTTTTTATGAAATATGAAAAATTACTAGTGCACTGTAAATAATTATTATCTGTTATTTATATATAAACTTATTTATTCTCAGTGATAAAAAAAATATTATTAGTTACAAAAATATATAAATGAAAAAAAAAAAAGAAAATTATGCTCAAAAATTTCCAACTATTCTTTCGCTCTAACAATTTTTGCAAATTTGTTGAAATTACTTAAAATTTTGAAAATTTTTGCAAAGAAAATAAATATAAATATTACAATTAATAAATAAAATATGATAATTTCTCACTCATCAGAAGGTAAAATTTTAATCGTAAATCGATTACTTATCCCAAGAATATCACAATCTGGTAATGTGTCAAATGCTTCACCTTCGGAAGCTGCTTGTATTGTTTTCGCTACACCGCGACGTACTTTATCTACCACTGATGACATCTGAAACAAAACGAAAAAAAATTAGGTAAAATAGTAATGTATAAATAATATAGAAGAAATTAATGATATGTAAAGAAATGAATTGAAAATTTCATATTTATGCTAAGAAACTGTTAAGTAATAATTTAAATGTGAATAAAAATTAGCTTACACTTGCACTAACAACTATTACAATATGTAATCGGGTTTTTATTTTTTTTGTTTATCATCAGATTTTTTTTTTAAAAAAAAGAAATTACATATACCTGCCATTTGAAACATTTTCCTTTCTCTAATGTGTTCATCGTTTTTTTCAAATCGTTAAACAAATATTACAATTTAATTTTCTGAAAAAAAAATGAAATACTTTTATAAATACTTGCATTTTTGATAAATAAGTAAATAATAATAATAGAAAAATAAAAATATGCAATTCAAGCAAATTTTGTTTAAAATAAAAAAGAAAAGAAGAAAAAAATAATCTCTGACTGTGATGAATAAGAAAAATTGGAATTTTAATGAAATTCGTTTTTTCAAAGTTTAATTTACACATTTTTTTTCCTGTGCAAAATATTGCACAGGAAAAAAAAAGTTAACAAATAAATAATTTACATATGCATTAAATAATATTCATGCATACAAATAAATGATTTAATTTCCATTAATTATTTTACTAAGCAAAAAAAGAAGAACAAAACACGAAATAAAGAGAAAAATAAATGTTGTTAATAATGCAGCAGCTAAATTGAATTGCAGAAAGAAATAAGTTAATAATAAATAAATAAAATAAAATGGCTGAAAGTTGATTGTCTAATTGATAAGTAGTAATTTTTTCAGAAGAATAAAGAATAAGTAAATTATTCAATTTGGACTGGTATAAACTTTTCATTTTGTTAAACCATTCTTATCTTTTTTCCATCTTAATTTACTCTAATTAACTTTTTAATTTTTATCTATTAACTTATTAGCGTTACCTTTTTTTATCAGCAAGGAATTTTTCCAATTAATGAAATAACTTTTGTTAAGATTAGTCTATTTCTTTTTTCGTTTCTTTTTTACTCTTCATTTAGGTTATTAATTGATGTAAACAGGGAAAATTTATTTGAAAAAGGACGATAAAACCAAAAAATATAATTAATATTTCTTGGAATTAGTGGATAAAGAATGAAATTAATAGATGCTTTTTTTTGGCAAACAAATTAATTAATAATTTAATTAATAAGCAGAGAAAAACGTATTTAATTTACAAAGGAATGACTTTACTTGAAACTAATATGATATGAAATAAAATATCAAACATTAAATAAATAAGTTGAATATATATTAAAAAATTAAAATATTATTATTATTATTTCGAGACAAATTAATGAATTAAGCATTGAGAATATGGATAAGTTGATTTGAAAAAATATGATTTGATAAGATGGAATGAGAGAACTGAACAGTTAATGGTAAGTTATGAATTGTAAAATGAAGTAATGAAGAAAAGGTCATTACAAAATTTAGCAGCTATGATAGATTCGGGATATATTACAATAATACAATGAAAGGTCAATAAGAAATTTGAGAAAACTCACAAGCAAATAATTATATATTGATTATATATGATAAAAATTGTAATAAATTAAATATTATTAAAATATGCAAAAATAAACTAAAATTTTATCTTAAAATTTCAATTTAAAATAATCATCTTTTTCTCCATGAAAAAATTATTTGCAATTAGAAGAGGATAAAAATGAATGCAATAATGCTTTTTTCTAAATAATATTAAGCAGAAATACAAAAGTCTTTATGCAAAGTATGACTATGATATCTTTTATTTTTAGTTAAAAATAAGAGTAAAATATAAATTGGTGAAGAATTTCAAAGCAAATTATAAAAATATCATCAAATTTCATCGATTAATAAAATAAATATGCATTTTTTAACTGTCAATAATCAAATATACTTTCATGTAAATATAAAAAATGTAAATTAAAATTGATTTCTTGCAAATAAGAAGTATTTAAATATGGTAAATCTTTTTATAAAAAAAAATCACTTAAAAAAGACAAAAAAAGGGCAAATAATATCACTTCATTAATCAAAGTGCCAAATTTGACATTAAAAAAGAAAAATAAAACTTATGCCATAAAAATCAACAAGTTAGTCTAATTAGTAGAATTGGAAAAAAAAACTTTAAAATTTAATATTAATCATTAAAATTAAAAAAAACTATTACCAATCACTGAATATATATATATATTGTGTTGGATAATATGCATGTAATTTGATTTAATATTCAAATATTCAACAGTTTTTAACACATTCATACGACAAAAGCATCCTTTCACTAATACAATACACACACACATACACACATGCACACACATACACACACACACAAACAACACCTGTGTTGATCCAGTAAGGTATATATGGGACAAGTAGAGTCGATCAAATTAGAGAGACGGAAGACGAAGGTATCACATCCTCAATAGATAGAATCTATGATCATTCTTTTCACTCACATTTCCTCTTCTTTTGCCTCAAACTGTTGAAATTGTAGCAGTTGTTGCACAATTAATGATCACTCACTTAACCATCCATCTTGTTTTTTCCTTTGCTTTTTTTATTTCTCCATTAACAAATGAAAGTTGCTTAAAATGAATATTTAATTAAGTAATTAAGGTAGTATAGAAAATTGAAAAGTTGATTAAAAAAGAAAAAAAAATATCAACTTTAATAAATGATTTTTAATAATGATAATATTTAACATATGAGATTTTGGTTAATATTAGTACTGCAACTATCTGTCATATTTCTTGAACTTACCAAACAGTATTAGCAAGAGTATCTTCGAAAACTAAACACAAAATTTTTATGCTACAATTACTACAATTTACTATGTATGATCAAATCCAATAAATCAAAAAAATAAAACCACAAAAATTAAATTATTAAAGATAATCTTGCAAAATAAAGTATTCATCACAAGAAGTTCAGAAGATCAAGTGTTCAACAAATGCATTAAAAATCAAAACTAATCAATATATTAACTAATATCATATATGAGAACAGATACGAGATGAAAATAAAAGAATGCAATTCGTATTCGCAACATGCAACCAATCATTTACGATGACGACAAAATAACCAAATGCTGTGTAAATAGTGTTTACACTTTACATACATACATATATATATATATATATATATATATATACAAATATGTTTACAACATTAGTATGAAATCAGTTTCTCATTCTTACTACCATTTCCTTTAAATGATGATCAAATGACAATATTATTATGATCACATGTCGGAATTTCTTTTCTTTTTACTGCACATTGAATAAATATAATTTATTCGCAACATGCAACCAAACACTTATAAATGATGACAAAATAACCAATTTATTTTAAATGTTTAGAAACATTCACTGCAAAAAATAAAGAAATAGAAAAAAAATAGGATAACAATTATACAATATCATGAAGCATTGATATTTTATATTTGGCATAATAAAGCTTATCTATGATTTAGTTCATTTGCAATGATATATACATATACGTACGTGTACGTTTGTATCTCTACCTATGTGTGTGTGTGTGTGTGTGTGTGTGTGTGTGTGTGTGTGTGTGTGTGTGTGTGTGTGTGTGTGTGTGTGTGTGTGTGTGTGTGTGTGTTGTTTACTACTACGTTAAGGTTAACATTTGAAGAAGGGAGTATTTAAACTGTTAGGAAGAAAAGATTAATAATAAATCTATTTGGAAAAAATAATTTAATGCAAACAAATAAAACACTTAAACAAATATTTATAATGGATTAAATGAAAAAAAAAAAAAAGAATAAAATAAAACAAAAGAAAAGAAAAGAATTCTCTCAACTATATTAAATATAAAATTGAAATATTCAAGTGAATAAAATAAACAACAAATGATTTTCCATTCGGATATTTTATTGAAATTAGTGAGAATAATTGGATATGACAAGAAATTATTGATAAAACGTTATAACTACAAATGAAACCTGTTCTTCAGTATATATTCAATTACAATTTAATATTCAATCACAACATTTACGTCTAATTTTTAATAATTTAATTTATCCATGGAAATAAGATATTACTAATATAAAGAAATAATCATTGGATTGATAATAATGACAAATGCTATCAATCGTAAGACTAATTTTATATGCAAAAAAAAAAAAAAACAGCTTCAAAATATATCAATAATACATCGTTTTTTTTTTTAAAAAACAAAAAAAAGAATTTGCACACAACAATTATAAAATTAAGATTAAAAAATTCGAATATATGCAATAAATTTGATATTTTTCCATCTCTTTCCATCAAATTGAAAAAACCAATGATAATAAAACAAGAAAATATAAAATCAAAAAAAGGCTATAAACATGATCATCTTGAAACACTATTCATTTAATCTTTTATCATAAAAATGTTACATACTGAAAATCAGTAGAAATGCATGATTTCACAAACTTATTTAGTTATTTAAACAATTTGTGCAATTTTGTCATGCCATATATAATTCTCCATTTAATACACAAAATAAAAAAGAAAGGAGATGGATATTTTACTTGTTAAATGATGAAAATTTTTTAAAATTGGTTTGCCGTTTTTTCTTTATTTAACGATTCCAATAGTTAAAAATTAAATGATAAAATAAAAAAAAGAATTTAATTGATAAAACTTGGAATACATAAAGATCTGAAGACTATGTGAAGTCACTAGTAAGATGAAAAGTAATGAGTTTTTTTCTTTTTTTTGATCATGTAGATCACTTTCATCTCTTTAAATATTTTGCATATTTCAAACTATTTCATCATTTATCAACTTGTTAGTTTTTTTTTTTTTTTTTTTTTTAACATATTTCACATTAGAATATTTTCTTCCCTTCTTTTTCCATCAATACCAATATTTTTCTTCTCTAATCGACTTTTCGTTTCGTCACTTCAATTTGTTTATCATTCTCTTTTAAAGCTAAAAAATTCAATAACATTAGTATTTTAAATTTATCATTTAACTATAACTAATATCAATCATTTATCATATTAATCCTTAACCAATAACTAATATTAACCACTTATCATGATTAATAATAAATGCAGTGATTAATGGAGAACCACGACATTTACATAAGAACAGAGGAGTTGAAATTATTTAACTATGAATAGAAAGAGAAAGAAGTATTACATGATCACAATGCTACAATCATTTATCTTAAAAAATGAACAAAAAAAAAGGTACCGCTATTAAAAAGAAGTAAATAATGCAATGCATAATTGTTTGAAATGACTGATATTAAAAAAATAGCAATGATTAAATGTTTGAAGCCAAATTCATATTTAATAAGTAAAAAGTGGGATGAAACAAAAGAGTTTCTTTCTTCTCCTATTCTACCACAAAGAAAAAACTCATATGTTTAAAAGTAAAAAAACAGAACGATTTTTTTTTTTAATTTAGATAAAAAGATGATCGCATGCTCATAACACTTCAGTATGAAGGAGAAATAACTAATGATACTATTCATGAAAAACGATATAGTATAAAAGATGAACAGTTATAACATTGGCAAAAAATAAAAGTAAGAACTTTAAGAATACCTGTCTCGTTTAATATTAAAGAATGATGTTTCATAGTTCGTAAAAATATCATCTATATTGATTAGCATAGTTTAAAATATCAAAATGTTCACTTGTTTTGTCCTATACATTTATTGAAATATATATTTTTTGAAAGTTTAAATTTCGTAATTGAAAATTTTTCCGCATACCAATAATCGTTGCGCTGAGATTTCTGTTGATTTTTCGCATCGTCGATTATGCTTACATTTGTCCGCTTGTCTTATGGGCAAATTCCGTGATTCTATTTACCCTCATTATCTAATTTTTTTTTCCATTCCAAAAAATTGAAATTAACTGACACATCCTATTACATACAATTTTATGAAATGTGCAGTGAAATATTCCCACCCGTTTTTTCATTAAAAACTACTTTTTCAGCCATGTCGTGGAATACAAAAACCCGATATACCATGTAAAAAAATCTATTGTTCCGCTAATCAGATATTCAAATGCTGCAGCGAGGGCTTTTTCATCCTTTCCAATTGAAACTAACGCATAGAATGAAAGAGATGAAATTTCCACAAAAACATAAAGATTGAATATATCATTTGTTACTGAAATCCCAACTATACTCAAATGATATTCATATAAAATAATGAAATTTTCGATAAAAAAGTACTGAAGCAAAAATGTGAAAATAAAAAAAAATCTGTTTCATATTTATAAATTATAAAAAATAAAAGTTAAATAGAAAATTCGCTCTTTTATAATACATTTGTACATAGCAGTTTATATATTTATATAAGTTAGATATAAAAATTTATGTTATTAAAAAATTTAATAACAAATTTATAGGTATAAAAAAAAAGATAATAATGTTATTATCTATCCTGTTGAAATCCATAAAATCACAATCCATGCAACTCAATTCTAGCTCTAGTTTTATTAATTCACTTACATAATTTATATTATTTTACACAATTGTATCACCTTCTACATAGCAAATAAAATATAACTACAACTAATCAGAAGTACTGCTCCAATAAAAAAAAAATCCAATTTTAATCCCAATTTTTCCAAATTAATCTGTAACAAAATTCTTTTAAATGAAAGCAACAATGCATATAATTCATAATATTTAAACAGTGAGAAATAAAACTCAAACATTTTGCAATTTAACAATTGCCCATCGTATCAGCCACATGCAGAACTGAAGTTTGGTTTTTAATCACTCCTTAAAATTCGTCATTCGGACCTCACCTTGGATAAATGCTTCATGTCACAATTTTTTAGCTTTTATCTTTTCATTTTATATTAGTAGTAAATTAAGTTGATGTTAGTATTACTTTTATGGTCCTTTTTTTTTCTTTTTTCGTTCTTTTCAGTTATATTTACTAATTTTATCCTGTTTGTAACTTAATAATGGTGTCAAATTCTTACTTAAATTCAAATTTTTACTGTAACGATGATCAATTCTTAATTGCAACATGGTATCAGTTTTTATTTCCAATCTTTGTAATATGATAGTGGTGCAATTCGTGATTGCAACCTGACAATAGTACAATTCCTGTTTACAATTTGGTAATCCTACATTTTGTGCTTGCAACCTGGTAGTGATATTAATTTCTGTTTGCTTCTGTTTGCACATCTGTAGAGTCACCAATTCGTGCTTGTATATTATAGTAGTACAAATTTGCTTAATAAAAATTCGTATCTTAAAAAAATGGATTTTGGTTATGGTATTAATTCCTTTACAATATCATTTTATACATTACATTTTTATGCAGTTAGCAAAACATAAAACGATATAGAGCTAGAATAAGCCGCTAAGTTGCTATCATCTTAAAATTTGTTCAAAATTTTGCTAGATTAAATCAACAATATTGTTCTAGATGCTATTTGCATGAATTCAGTAGCATTTCATTGTAAATGAAATTTGGTGAATTGAAATCACAGTATAAAAAACTATCTAATATGAACTTAGAAGGTTGCAAATAAAATTTGGTTAGAAGAAAATATTAACCAAATTTTATTTGAGGTGCTATAAATAAAAACTGAAATAATTTGAAGTTGTAGGTAAACGTTGTTTAAAGAAAGAACTAATGTCGGAAATTGTATATTGTGATACAAATTTTCATTTGTTGATTTAGATGGAAGTTTTAGCATATTAAAATATTTTAATGAAAAAAAGTTGGTAATTATGTTTCAATTGAATCACGGAAGGAAACTCGTATTGCTACTGATTTGTATTTGGTAATGGGTATTTGTCAAAATTTATTGTATAAATTGGTTTAGTTTTCTACAGCAGGGTACAGTGATGGTTTTGCATATTTATTTCGAAAGGAAAAAAAAGTTGAATCTAGAAAAGAGGAAAAAGGAAGGTGTTCGTAATTATAGTGATGCAGTCATTTTTCATCCTTTTTTAATGTTAGAAAAAATGTTGAGTGGTTATATTGTAAAATATTATTAGTAGTGATAGTATTTGCATTTTTGAAATTGGTCTTTGTTAGCTTTGTGTCTTTTTACTAGCTGGCTCTCACTGCCTTTGACAGTTGTGGGAAAAATGTTGCGTAATAAGTATGATACGTTTAATTGTTATCATCCAACGTAAATAAATAATGTGACATTTTGTTGCAGCTATTATGAATCACTTAGCGGAATACTACAGTGATGATGAGTCACCATTTAGAAAAAATTCCGAGGAGGAACAGAGCCTGAATAATAGCGATAGAGGTGATAGCTTTAGAAATTTCGGAACTTAGTTTTTTGCATGTTTTAATCACTAGATTTAAAATGATGTTTTTTAAGTTGCTAGATTTATTATTCAATAAATTGTTTTCTTCCTACTTCATTTTCCTTCCTGTTCCGAGCCAATCTTTTAGTAAAGTATGATTATTTTTAATTTTTTTTTTTTTTTTTTTTTTAGTGTGTTTGTCATTTTGGTATCCTTTCTAGATGATAAGGAAGATTTTTCAAACGGAATTTATAAGCATTTACAACTACAGAGTAAAAGCAAGAAAATTTTCGAAGTTTTACTTATATGTAATCGAAAAAAGCCCTATACTTTTCTTATGTTTTACAAATCTTTTATCCAAAAAAAAAAAAATCTTTTATCCATCTTTTATCCATTGTTTATGAAGGAAGAATATAAGATATTTCGTGGGTGCGAGGGAGCAAACAAGTGAAAAACAGGATGTGATAATGCCACTCTATTTTGTCAACTTTTCAATTATGTCGACTTTTGATGAAGTTTTGCAGGGGATAAAAATTAGTAATACTTACCCGAATAATTATTCTCTTGTTCTGCGTGTTGGGTGCTTTTCCGAGCTAAATGATTTCGAAGTTTCAGAACAAACATCAAATGAAATAAATAAGGAGATTCAGCGAAAAGAGGGACGACGAGATTCGGAATACTGGACAGGTAAGGTTACAGGACACGGAAGTGGGAGTTTAAACTGAACTGAAGTCAGTAAATATATATATGATTTACTTTGATTATTAACAAATCCCACTATAGATATGCCTTTAAATAGTTAGAAAATACTATCCCTAAAATATGACGCTTGGTGAAAATTAATTTATGTATGATTTTGCTGTCGATTTACTTCTCTAATTTTAATACTTTTTCCCCTTCGTAATTCGATCAATAATAATTGTTTCCGATTTAGATGATGCAGCAAATGGAAGCTCGTCATCGAACGCCGACTCGAGTGTCGAATCAGAAAGTAGAATGATTGGAAGCGTTAGTTCATTACATCCACCTCCATTTAAGAAAGCACTGATATCATCTCCAGAACATTTAGTGCAAAATAATTCTGGCGCAGCAGTATCACCATCACAGAATCGAAATCGACCACTTACTTCGAAAAGCGCACTTTACATTACACAAAGTCAGACTTCGCTGGTTTCATATGGTGAACAGGAAGATGAGGAGGATCAGTTCGCTAAAGGTTTACACATTTATTTTTTTCTAGCAAAAATCTTGTTAAAAAGAAGAGGTACTTGATTATAGTTGATGCTTGTGCATTTCTGTACATGTATTCACCACTTATTTAGACTTAATGTTGTTTTATTAATTAAAAAGACATGCGATTTAATCTAATATCCAAACGACAAACATAGTTTTCACTTATGCTCTCATTAGTTTTCTAAAATTATATCGTTATAATTCAGAAAATGGTTAATATGCAGTTTGGACAGGATCCTCCGGTTGGAAACTTTGCCATAATACTTTTTTCTTCACTGTAATATCCTTTTAAGCTGACCGAAAAGCAGTTGCAAGCAAACAAACAGAAGAGAAAGGAAGTTCGGAATCAACAAATCGAGAACCAAAACCACCACCTGGTCATGAGGACAGTCGTTCACCGGATGAAATTGCTGTAGATAGTGCAGTCGAAGAAGGTTTACGAGAACTTGTAAGTATGCTCACTCAAATCTATGGTATAATCTGCTATGTTTAGTGGCAAGAAAAGGAAGAAGTAGACGGAGACGAATGTGCGGAGAATCCCATGAAATAGTATTGGTCCAGAATCAAATGGGAAAATGGAAGGGAAGGATAACTTGGAATCAACAATTCGTGAACTAGAAACCAATGGAGATGTCGTTTATTAGATGGAATTGCTATAGATAGTTTATTTATGAGTTCTGGTAAATCTTTTCTATGCATTTTATAGGAAAGGCAACATATCGACCAGAATCTTGATAGTTTGACACCAAAATCAGCGGAAGGAAATGATAGTCCGCAGATTCATGATGATCCTGTGGAAATACGATTACCACCATCGCCAGTCACAAAATGCTCTGCTGAACTTGAGGTACAAAATTTATTCTTGGAGTTTTCATTGAAATGAAGGTCAAATTTCAACAAAAAAGATAACGCTTATGTTGCAGGCAAGATTTCGAGGATTTTTTGAAAAAAAAGCACAAGGAGCTGATTTGAATGCATTAATACAAAAAAGGCGCGATTTCAAAAACCCATCAATGTACGAAAAATTGATTGAAAAATTCGAGGTGGACGAACTGGGTTCAAATTTCGCACCATCAGTTTTTGATCCACACGGTTTCACAAAGGACTGCTTCTATGACCAGATTTGTAAGTACTATGTTATTCTTTTTCCAGTTAATTTTCTTTCCATAAGGTTGGAGCATAAGAGGAAACTTTTGATTCCAATGAATCAATCCTACAATGTAATAATTTGTGATACGAACCAAATAAAGCCTTTTCTCTTCAGCAGTACTGCAAAAAGAAGCGATGGAGAAGTTCAATGCTACTGTTGAGAAGAAAACAATGAGTGGAACTGCGTCTGCTAAAGGAACTGAAGCTAAAAGGAAATCACGTTTTGAAGGTGCCAAAAAGTGACTTGCTTATTATGATAATTATTGTTGGATCTCATAATAGTTCTACAACAGTGTTACTGTTTTGTTTGTATAGTAATATAATTAATTGATAGGATTTTTAAAAACTCGAACCTTTATATAAAGCTTCACTGCAGTACTATGTTGCCTTCAAACCTTTTAATAGTTCATCTCTTTCATTTAAAAGGTATTTTTTAAAGCCATTTTTTCTCCAAAGACTGTCGTATGTTTTAAGGTCACCAAAAATAATTTGTTCAAGCAGATAGTTCAAAACAAATAATTAGTGTTTTTGCTGAAATCAGTTTCTTACGGCAGATATAAATAATTTATCCCTTCTCCGCTGTAGTATGTACTAGATGTATTGTTCGTATATGCTTTCCATTTGCCATAACAAGGCCAACCATTCGGGATTCCAATTCATCTTTCCATTGTTCCTGGAAGTAAACTAATAGTAGACGGAATTTATGATCACACAAATACCGTAATTCAAATTTCATCCCAACTAAACAACCACATTACACTACCCCGATATTATCCCATGAAATCTATCAATCATTTAGGATAAAAAATTTCTTAATCACCTTACAACCACTAAGAATTATATTTGGTGCGTTATCAGTGCACACAAATTTCCCTTCAATTATACGTCCATCCGTTAATTCGAGTCGTAAAATCTTCCCAAGCCATCGACGTATCCCTAAATCTTCTTGATCCGGCATAATAATTTCTCCTACAAAGAATTAAAAAAATTAAAGAAGCTTCAGAAACATTTGCAAGGAAAATACGAACAATTTGAAAATTGCTGATGAGATATTTTGGTAATGGAAGGAAGAACGATGATTAATGAAAAGTGATCATCCTCCAATGCGCGCACATTAAGATAGTTCTATGATATTTCCGACCCAAAAACCAAAAACATAGCTAAACTGAACAATTCGAAAGCAAATCTTAACATCGGAGAGCCTCACCTATACCTGATCTAGGAGATGCAAAATCATATTCCCAAATGAAGTTCAAATTTGAAAATTACTTAATTTTAAGCTTATATCATAATCTTGTAAAAATGTTACATACATTGCTGAACTATGAACAATTCAAATATCTTCGATTACTGACCTTGAATTCACCCATTTATTTTATTTTCACAATATAATATACATGTAACAACAATACATAATGCATAAACGTTTTTCTTTTAAAGTTAAAACCATTATATGTCTGATGAAAAACGATCACATACAATCATGGTAGGAAAATGTTTATTGCTTGACGATTTCAATGGCTAATAAGATAGAAGTCTAAAAACATGCATCGAAATCAAAAAATACAAATTGCAAGTGCAAAAGAAAAAAAACAAGAGAACATTTCTTCATTTATAATGACGATTCTTAAACATTACAAAACAGATGAAGCCGATTCTTATATATCAACCGATAGAAAAACATAAAGCAGCTACCATCTTGACTCACAGTTTTATGCAAAAACGAAGAAAAAAAAATTTTCAAATCATCATATTTCGATTATTTCAGAACTGAAATGTTATCATTCTCTAAATAGACGAATGCTTATTTAAATTTTCAAAAAAGAAAAAAAAAAAAAACAAATGAGAGGATGAACTGCTTAATGATGTATACATTTTCGGAAATTTTCTAATATTTTTAAGTAAACTCTCGAATACAAAAATTTTTTTGTTTGAAAATTTCATTTTGAATCTTAATTTGTGTAAAAATAGCAAAATATTGGTTAACCACAAAAACAAGCATGAACGGAATTGTCAACAAGAAGTGATAGCGAATGTTAATGTGGAAATATGAAACATTAGTAACACACAGTATAAAGAAAAATGAACATTTTCATCCATAATATGCTGTTATTCTCAATCAAGCATATAATCCATGTAATTATGAAGTAATCATGTTGTTAGACGATCATTGAAATATACAAAAATTAATTGTAAATCAAACATTTTGCAAAAACACTGAAGTATTTCAATCCATACAATGAACAGAAAAATGAAAGCAAGACGATAGCAAATTCTGAAATTTAAATTTTCTCACTTGAAACTATTATGCAAATTGTTGGCAGTAAAGACTTGAAATGCATGGCTCTTAGTGAGAAGAAACACAGTAGAGGAAGAAATAAACTGTAAGTTCTTACATAATTCAAGGAAAAATGTAGAGCAGAAATAATTTACTTATATATTAAAGTAAAAGTAATTGAGCGATAAGGAGTAGTCTATTTATATGTTAGAGTAAGAATTTAATTTGTAAGTTGAAAATGATTTAAAGTATAAGTAATTTATTTATATGCTAAAAACAAGAGCAGTTGCTATTTTTCATAACGAATTCAACCAAATGGTGGCAAAAAAAGAATAATTACGATGATATTTTGAAATTTCGAAATCAGCGACTTATGGTCACAAGTGAAGTCAAATAAGCAATATTTTCATTGGTGAAAACCATTCTTCTTTGAGTGCACATTCGCCTATAGATAGCACCATAACTTTTTTCATTTCTAATCAATTCTAGTATGGCTGATGCAAAAATAGGTGCTAGTCGTTCGGCTTCTGCCTTCGATACTCTGAAATTACATATGCTTTTTCCCTTTGCTGTTAATTTCACATGAACCTTTTCGTGAATTGATAACAGAAGAATCGAGCGTCACAACAAGAAGAAATAATCAATTCCCATAAGAAATCAATGGGGAAAATGTCGAAGTGATTTTAAAGAACTGATATGCTTCTTAATTCTTTCCAAAAAAGAGTCCGAAAATTACATAAGAGTACCGCATCAATCGATCTATATACCTTGCTAAACGATGTAACTTATCTGGAAATTCAACTCCTTCCAGTGCAGCTGCAATGAATACTGAAATAGCTGCAATAACCGACGGTTTCATACAGCATGTATTATAGTCGTATGATGCTATTTCACTAATAACTTTAGCCAATGTATGAACGCTAAGATCGTAATGTTCCGTAAGACGACGGATAAATTGAATGGCACGAGGATATTTCAGATCAAAATTCAAGAGATGTAACACCTGAAACAAAAATTACGAAAAAAAAAAAAAAAAAGAAAATTGCAATAGGAATAGAAAAATAACCGTAAATCTGAACGATTCTAAATCCACGCAATCCCACCATCGCGAAAAGATAAGATTGTGTTGAAATAATTTAATATCTTAATGACTTGTCACTTAAAAAATGAAATAGCTTACAATATGCTCTGTCCCTCTTTTTCAAGAAATGTGTGTTTCAGAAAACTCGAAAACAGATAAATATAGCGGTAAAATCAAGAAACATCAAACACATTAGACACATAAATGTTAGACAAAAGATTTTAAAGAAGTAAATATATGATTTGATCTTCGTAAAATCATAAACTCAATTAATCAGAGCATATGAAAAAAAGCTGCAACAATTTGGTATTTTGAGATCTTCTTGAAAACTTTCGCCTTAAATGAATTAATTACTAAGAAAAAAAATCATTAAAGATACAAATATCTTACATTAATTTCCGCCCGCACGATCTCCTGCTTTGTATTGTCACAAGAGCTAAGATATTCAGATATTTCAGGTGGATAAATTTCTTCATATTTGGCTGCTACAACAGCACAGCCCAGAGAAATTAGTTGAATTTCTCTCTGAAAGCATTCAAAGTTCAAATAATTAAACAGGAAAGACAATAACACAGATAAACGATGAATGAGCACACAGATCACTACTTCTTAATACACCAAATAATTAAAGATAATCAACTAAATAAAATTTTAAAATAATTCCTCCAGCACCTACTTATATTTGTCTCCACATTTCTTGGAATAGTTTAGTTTTTGCGAATTTCGCCTTAAATCCCTTTATCTTGCTTCTTCATGATTCTTCACTACCATCTTCAGTTTTATTTCTTGTTTTTAGCAAATAAAGTTTTGTGAAACCTTTTCAAGTGTAAAGCGTCGTGCCATTAAACAACGGTCGAAGAGATTAACCGTTGTTAACTGTGTCTCTGGTAACAGCTTGAAAGTAATTTGCATGCGAGTAATCCAGTCTATTGCAATCATTCGATTTCTGGGTGTGATCTAAAAATTTAAGAATAACGAGAAAAATAAAAAAAGCATTTGTATAAAAGATGCATCATGAAAAAAGCATTAAATTTATTACGACCCATAAATTCTACTTAAAATTTATTACTTAATCTACAGTATCTATTGCGACTTTAGTTCCTAATATCCGGCTTATGGTAATTAGAAACAAGTATAAACTTGAATGGTTACTATATTTACTAAGAACAAATGTCCATATAACATCTTAAAACGAAAATTTTATGACAGAAATTCAATCATAATGTAACTTCACTATATTTTACAATGAACAAACCCTCGATCCGTGCAAGAAATTCGACGGCACCACTCCTTTATTCTCGATATAAAATAAATAATCCCAATTATCAGCTGCATACTGTTCGCAGTATACCACTTCGTTATTGTATGTGTCATCAGAACTACGTTTTCCATTACAAAATGGTAACGGTTTTAACAATTTCTTTATTGCTTCCGGTTGGGCAGGAGCAGTTTGCACAGCTATTTCGTTAGAAGTTGGCTTTAGCTTTAAATGCTGACTAGATGGAAATGCATCAGATCTTAAAACATGTCGACTACGCAGATTCATACCTGCATTCGTTATGAGTGGTCCGAGCTCTGTCAAACCCTAAAAACAGTTATATAAAGAATTAGCTACGCATAACGTATTAAAGAATTCTTTGATGGTAAAGAAAAGATTTACTTTGAGCAGAGGAAAAAAAGAAAACAGAAAAGGACTTTAAACGATTCGGATTAATTTATAACGTATTTTCAATGTTTAAGCAATATTCTACCTTGCCTAAGGTGATGCCACATTTAGGTTGCTTTTTCTCCAATGCTTTCGTTCGTACACGTTTTGGTGATGCGGAAGATGATCGCCGCAATTTACTAGAAAGCAACGAAAATTTGCTTTCACTTTCATCTTTGCTGATTTTCTTATTGTCTTCATTTGTTACAACGTTTTTCATATCTGCTAATGCAGCTCTTCGTATTTGTGCTCCTTCTTTCTGATCGTTCAAATTTTTCCCCAAAATCCCGCTTGCCATATTTTTAAACCGCTAAAGATACTTGAATTATCTAATTTCTATTATTTCTCAATAATATATTTAATATTTGACTAGGCATCGAATGTTTTTTTCATTTTTTATAATCTTAATACAAATATCGGTGATTTTATGCAAGACAGATATAATGATCTGTTTCAATTAGCATATCAGCAAAAATGACAAAGCGATAATCGATAATTTTTTTGATTATCGCTTTAAAGACAAGGGATGAATTTGTTTCACTTTTTTGCTTTAATGATTAGTGACGGCATGGGTCTATTATTCTATTATATGAGAATTTGATACCACAGTAACATTAGAACTTAGTTCCTTCCGACTGCTCAGGTGATATGAAAAAATTGGTTATAAATTCTTAGAAGTTAAAAAGCTAGGATCTTAAGCAAATAGAAATTTGTCAGAAACAACTCCGCAATGGATAAAATAGATTGGATTCATATTAACTTTCTGGTTTTATATATTTGAGAATTTGTGGTACAGCTAAAACATTCTGAAATAAAATCAGAATAACGTGAAAGGCGGGAACAGGGTTCCGGAAATCTTTCAGTTAAAGATCTTCAGTAACTTTGTTTTCTACC